GGTCCTCATTCAATAGCCTTGGATCCTGGTCACTGGTATAGTTCAGGCATTACTGGAAGCACTAGAGATCTCCAATAACTAACTTGCTGATACTTTGCTGATCTTCATAAAAGAAGAGTTTGCTATTTCGGATTGCAGAGATGAGCCAGAATGCCTGATGAGTCCTGCTCCAGAGGCCTTAGCCACAGGTCCCTGAGGCACACAGCTGGGGCAGTGCGATAACGCTCAAAACGAATTGCAGAACCACACACGGGAGCCAAGCTGCTCCATGCCATGCCTGAAAACATCTCTGTTTGTCTAGCATCTAGGCCCTCTGGCCAGGAGGTGGCTGGATCAGGGCTGTGAACCCTACAGAAAGCAAGAGCTGAGGGCAATTATTTGCACATTAAAATCACCCTGGGGAGTTTTTGTTTTTGCTTTCTAAAAATGCCTGTGTGGCTCAGTCGGTTAAGCATCTGACTTTAGCTCAGGTCATGAGTTCGAACCCCGAGTTGGGCTCTGTGCTGACAGCTCAGAGCCCGGAGCCTGCTTCAGATTCTGTGTCTCCTTTTCTCTCTGCCCCTCCCCCACTCACACTCTGTGTCTCTCTCTCTCAAAAATACATAAACATTTTTAAAGAATCCTGTGTCCTATCCCCAGAGATATGGTTTAACTGGGATGAGGTAGGGCTCAGGCTTCAGTATTATTTAAAAAGTGCCTTGTGATATTAACAAAATGCAACCAGGTTGGAGATCCATGGTCCTAGACAGAAGCACAGCTGGTGAAAATTGCCAGCTTCTTGGCAGGTGTCACCATGTGCACTTAACGGGAGCCATATTTTGGGTTTGAGACACCCAGGCAAGAGAGGTCCTTCCATAGTGTCCATTCGGGACTGCCATGACACAGCTCGACAGCCTGGCCCTGCTGCTGCTTCGGTCTGCACTCTAGCCAGAATGAGCACCCGCTCCCGAAGCTGAGTGCCAGCATCTAGCACAGAAGAGACGGCAGTTCTCTTGGAAGGGGGGCTGCTGTCATCAGGGACAGAGGCCTGTGGACCGAGTCTCAGCACAGGACGGACACCCTACAGAGAGCACCTGGCAATGGCTTCACACGCCTCTCACCAGCACCACGGTGGTCAGCGGGCACAAGCACAGTATAAATGTGGCAAAAAAAAAAAAAAAAAAAAAAGGAGTCAAGAAGAAAATAGCTTATCCATTTTTAAGAATGATTGGCACTGCAGGAAAGCCCCAGCTATGCTCACAGTAAGACCCATTGGGAAAGCACTAGTCACATGGACTCGAGGAATCCAAATTGCATCTGATGGTCCCAAGAGCCATTTGTCTGAAGAGAGTCTTGCTGCAGAAAGATAAAGTGGCATTTAAAACATTCGAGCTAATCACTGAGAATGTTCCAGGCAAAAAGTGCCAGCTTCCTTGGAACGGATGTTATCTTTAACAAGATGCATTCCCTGGTCAAAAATGGCAGACCATGACTGAAGCTCATGTTGGCTCCAGGGCTATGGATGGGTATTTGCTCCATCTGTTCTATGTAGGGGTATCTTTCCTCTTGCTTCTATAAAAATCACCACAAACTGAGTGGTGTAAAACAACACTAGTTTATTTTCTTATAGTTCTGGAGGCCAGAAGTCTGAAATAGGTTTTGTTTGGTAAAACCAAGACATGGGCAAGATTGTGTTGCTTCTGGAGACTCTAGAGAGAGACTCCATTTTCTGGCCTTTTCCAGCTTCTAGAGGCTTTATGCATTCATTGGCTTTTGGCTTCTTATTTTCATCCCTCAGACCTCTGCTTCCATCATCACACTACCTTCTCTAATTCTGACCATCCTGCCGCCCTCTCTGAGGACCCTGGTGGTCACATGGTGCCCACCCAGATATCCCAGAATAATTCCTCATCTCAAGATCTTTAACTTAATCACATCTGAAACTGTGTAAGTACACAGTTTTCAGGGATAAGGGAGTATTTGGAGGCAATATGGATTTCAGTGGATGTCTTCTACTGAAGGTTAAAAAAAGGTAGGTTAAAAAAAAAAAAGCATTATTGGAATCAGAAGACCTCTTATGCTCAGCACCTAGGGATTTGTCAAATCTGGAGGATGATAAAAAGCATAAGCAGATAGGTGCAGATAAATGACTTAAAAGAGGTAAGATGATCCCAAGTAATGCTGGAAAAGGCATAAAAGGGGTTTGCCAATCTATTTATCCTTCCTGTGCTGTGTTTGCTCAAAAAGAAAAAGTGCTGAAAAAGCACAACATTGATGTGGGAAAACTAATGGAGCTTCATGGTGCAGACATTTCTGGAAAATGGGAGCTGAAATTGAATGAGCTGAAATAGATATGAGCCCCATATCCAAAAATCTATTTAAAGGTCATAGCTTACAAATGGTAACAAATAAAAATCTTAGTGAAAACACAGTTAAAATAAAAAGGGTGTCTTTCATTTATTTAATCTCAAAGCATTCAAGACTCAACAAATTTTAGGGACTTCCTATGTCTTACAGGTTAATTATTGCCTTACTCATTAGCATTCTAGCTGTTTCTGCAGTGATTCAGCACTGGAACAGAGGTTGTCTGCTAAATGTGAGACAGGAAACCATCAAAATCTTAGGGGAGAACACAGGCAACAACCTCTTTGACCTCAGCCGAAGCAAATTCTTACTAGACACGTTGTTGGAGGAAAGGGAAACAAAAACAAAAATGAACTACTGGGATCTCATCAAGATAATACTTCTTGTTTTGGTGGAATAGTGATGAGTGTAGTTGCCTTCCAAGATAAAACTTCTACACAAGCGAAGGAAACAATCAACAAAACTAAAAGGCAGCCTATGGAATGAGAGAAGATATTTGCAAATGACACATCTCATAAAGGGTTAGTATCCAAAATACATAAAGAACTTACCAAAGTCAACATCCAAAAAAATCCCGTTAAGAAATGGGCAGAAGACGTGAATAGACACTTTTCCAAGGAAGACATCCAGATGGCTAACAGACACATGAAAAGATGCTGAACTTTGCTCATCATCAGGAAAATACAAATCAAAACCACGATGAGATACTACCTCACCCCTGTCAGAATGGCTAAAATTCACACAGGAAACAGTAGGTGGGGAGGGCCTTGCAGATCCTGAGGGTGCTCCTATGGCTTCCAGGGGGGTGATCATGAGTATGGAGAGTGTGGCAAATGAAGCTCCTGAAATTCCGGACAACGTGAGAGATTGGTTTTAGGGTGCCTACTACTTTGCCACCAATAGGAACAATTTCCAGAGGAACTTGATCCTCAACTTGGGACTGTTTGCTGCGGGCATTTGGCTGGTCAGGAATTTGAGTGACATTGACCTAATGGCACCTCAGCCAGTGTAGCCAAACGACACATGGAACCCCCTGTGCTGTACCTGAACCTTCCAAAAACAGCTTCCAATCTTTGACCATCACAAGACTTGCCCTGATGGAAGCTGAAGTTTCATTCAGATGGGCATCTTCCCTTCCTGATTTCCTTTTCTTTATTGAGCCCATTCAGAAATCCATTCTCTGGTCAGCAGTGAGGTTTCAGCCAAAGTGTTGTCCTCTGTTCTATAAAGTTCTGTACAGAGTTCCTAGGTTTCTGCAGGGGGTGATATTTGCTTTTGTCCTGAGAAATAACGTACTGGTATTTTAACAAATATTTGTAATATAGACTGCACACAAAGATGAGAGAGAGAGAGAGACAGAGAGAAACAATAGGTATTGGCAAGTATGCAGAGAAAGGGGAACCCTCTGGCACTGCTGGTGGGAATGCAAGCTGGCAAAATCACTCTGGAGAACAGTATGGTTTCTCAGAAAGTTAAAAATAGGGGGTGCCTGGGTGGCTCAGTCGGTTAAGTGTTTAAGTGTCTGACTCTCGATTTGGGCTCAGGTCATGTATGAGACTGAGCCACGCATTGGGCTCCTTGCTGAGCATAGAGCCTGCTTAATTTTCTCTCTCTCTCTCTCTCTCTCTCTCTCTCTTTCTCCTCCCCACTCTGTCCCTCTCCCCTGCTTATGCCCTCTCTTTCTAAAAAAAACCATGAAATCTTGCCGTTTGCAATGATATGGATAGAGGTAGAGTGTATTATGCTAAGTGAAGTAAGTAGAGAAAGGCAAATACCATATGATTTCACTTGCATGTGAAATTTAACAAACAAAACAGATGAACATATAGGAAGAAGGAAAAAAGGAAAAAAGAGAGAGGGAAACAAACCATAGAGACTCATAACGATAGAGAACAAGCTGAGGATTGATGGAGGAGGAAGATGGGGACTGGGCTAGATGGGCGGCGGTCATTAAGGAGGACACTTGTTATGATGAGCACTGATTGTTGTATGTAAGCGATGAATCACACTGCATTCTACTTCTGAAACCAACATTGCACTATATGTTAACTAATTAAAAATTTTAAAACCCCAAATAAACAGAAGTTGTCTAGACTGGGAACCCAGAAGCTGACCCTGGGACAAAGCTCCAAGTACAAGGAGCTGATTCAGGAGGAAAGGACCCCCTGGCAGGCAGTGGGGGGGGCAGGAAGGAAGGGAGACAGCCAACAGACTATGTGATGCAGTCAGTTACTGCTGTGGAGACTAAAGCTTTGTCCTGCTGGGGAGCTGGGCACTGGTGTAAAGCGCACCCCTCAGATGGGTTCCTTTGAGGTACCAGGTGGCTGGGGCTTTTATATACCTCCTCCCCTTCAGTCATTGGTTGAGAGCTGCTCCCAGGGCCATTGGCATTTCCAGTCTACTCAGCAAGAGGCAAAGGACTCCAGAAGGAGGCAAGAGGCAAAGGACTCTTTTCAAGAGAAAGCCCTCCGGCCACAGGGCGCAGATCTGATAGTTCAAAGGGGTGGTCTTGGAAAGTGGTAAAGGCTGGCGGTGGGGTTGGTGGGTGTGGAGCCCATTAACATATTAGCTGAGTCACTGAAGTGGCTTCAAATGGGGGTGGCTTTTTCTGTGCATAATGATAACTCTTCCTCAGTTAATATTGTCAGAAGAACAAGACCAAGACGGGCACAACTTTAATGCTTCTCCAATTATATTTTTGGAAAAGATCAGGATGATTGATACCAGGTTTCATGGCTTTTGTGTTTCAAAACATTCAACTGCAGTCTGCATTTTGAATTATTTTGTGAAGTGACATTTACATGATGTAGAACAGAACAATGAATTCTTAAAAAGTAGGGATGAGATCAGAAGAGCAAAGACTAGTAAGCATAAATTTTCACTTTGTGAACTTCCTTGTCATCACATTCCCTCTGTTTGTTGTAGTAATAGAAAGTATTGTCCTTTCTCTGAAGTTTCTTCACGTATCCCGTCTCCGGCCAACGATCTACCTGCACATCAGAAACCAGAATACAAATACTGTGATGCTGGTTTTATTTCTACATAGTATGTAACTATCAAACAGTTAGCAGTATAACTCACCTCTAAGAATTAAAGCATAAAATTAAATCTAAAAATTCTTGATTTCTCAAGAAGAGTATTATACATAATTCAAACACATCGTCAAGTTGCATCCTTATACTGCAAAACAACTAATTGGGTGCTTCTCTCTAGATCCCAATTTCTAGATTTAATAATCTACTCATTGGCCAAGATGAAACATTCAAAATACTCTAAACATTGTTTTTTATGTTTTCAAATTAGTTCAGACATTACTACTTCCTGACTTCTAAAAGTAAAGCCCGAGGAGGGAATTGGGCTCGGGCCCCACTCTAGTGCTGGACATTTACAGCAATGACAAATGGAAGCAGTTAGATTCTTGATACCTCAAGGTGCGCATTCATTCCTCATGTCTACCTCACAAGTTCAGCCTGAAACCTATTTCTTAATAGAAATTTGAGGTTATGATTTTGGTTCTCAGCTATCTTTCCTTACCTTCCCCCACACTATTCTTTCTCATATGTCATTTGGCTTGCTGACTTTATCATTTGGCATGACCTAGTTTGGACATTTTTCTCACTTTCCTCTCCAAATTCATGTTCCGCTTTCTTGATTGGATCAATGCATTTCTCTTGTTGTGCGGTATGTTTCTTCTGGATTCCATAAGATCTACTCTATCATTGTCAAAACCTGATTATTCAGGTGTTGTGGTTTAGATAATCAAACCCTCTTCTTCACCATCATCTCTACAGGCAGCTCATTACTTCTCATTTGCCCCACCCATAAATCACAACTTTCCCTCATGACTACAAAGGAATGCATGCCCTTTATTTTCTAATAGAGTGTTTTCATTTTCTCCTGTTGTCTCATTTATTTAAGAATTTACAAAACTAGGTAACAGCATAGCTGATAAATCTTGGTGGACTCTCTGACATATACAGTATAGAAAAAAAGTCAATGCTTCCTATCACTTAGGTCAGCTTGTCTTTCATAGCTTCCCATGTTCCCAGTAGAGAAAGGAGGGTGTTCTCAAAACACCATTATAACCCTCTTCCTCTTAGAGCCATGAGCAGGCTATGTTTTATTTACTAGGTTCCCCCAAACCATCTCATTCAGTGAAGAAATAGCCACTGTATATGGGATGAGCCTCCAAACAGCTGTATTGATTCTGTGCTCATCAACCTCTAGTCATTTTAAATACCCCTTTGGTATTTTATAATTTTTTTCTTCTTGGCCTTTCACTTGATGATGCCCATTCAACCTAGGAAAGCTTCACTCTTGTGAGTAGAACAGAGTGGCATAGTATGGTCCTCAAGACTAGCTAGGGAGGTCATTAAGCTCTAATAGCTATGTGTCCTAGAAGGCCATGTGCTTCAGGTGAGGAAAGAGAACTTTGTTCAAATCCTTCAGATCTCTGTATGCTAGGAGAGACATGCCAATCAAGGCAATCCTTCAGTTACCATCCCGTCCAACCTTTAAGATCTTCTGCAAATGTCTCTGGGGGCATAGAGCCATTTTGGAGGATTGTCCCCCAAAGGAAGCGATTTTATCTTCCTCGAAATTGTTGTGCCTCCTTTTTAAAGGCACACACATTTTGACTTGCATCAGGTTTTACTGTTCTTGTCATTGTTAATCTTCTCCAAGATTATAAGAATAATAAAAGCTATACTTCATTAAACACTCAGCATTCATTCACTCAACAAATTATTAAGGACTACAATGTCAGGCACTTCAAATGCATGATTTCATTTAATATTGTGACCATTTTCTAAAGCAGGCACTGCCATCCCCATTCTTCTGTTGGGCTCAGCCAAGATGAGAACCTTGTTCAGGATGACCCAGCTTATGAGACACAGAGCCCGGATGCTGATCCTGGACAGACAGATTCCAAACCTGGTTCTCTCCACGCTGGTCCACTCAGTTTCTTAAGGTCATGTACTCACTTACACTCTTATCTCCTAAAGCAGTTGGCACAGAAATTTGCACACACTGTGACATGCTGTGCCCGATATGCGACTTTGGCAGAGTGATTGTTTAAAGTTACTTGAGAAACAACCGATGCATAAAGGACACTCTGACTCTCCTCTCTGTCCCCCTGAAAGCAGGAAATAAATCTCCCATGTGAAAGCTACCCTCCCTGCACCCGGAGACAGACAAAGGGTGTTCTCTGACTTCTCTTAGATCTGATTTTATTGCAATCACATTATTGGGGGTGGGAACGTAAAGCATAACCAAAGTCAGAAGGTGCTAATAGTTTTTTGTCACTTATAATCTCCATAATAAACAGACTCTAACCTCTTCATAATTTGTGGTAATGAAAAAGAAAGTGGAAAGAAATAATAGTTACACAACAAACTGAATATCTGGGAATAGAATTACCTGAGTAGGTGGAAAAGACTCTACTTTTGTGGTTTACATAAATGATTCATTTAGTGGAGCATAGTTGCTCAATAAAAGCTAGAAAGTTCTTAGTGTTTCCATGCTGAGAGACCACCTCTTCCTCCAGTCTACCTGAACTTCACTCTTCTGGGCCTCAATCTCCTTATCAGTAAAATGAGAGAACTGAAGTAGAGCTCCTTTTTAGTTATTCTTTGGTTCTTTGTTTTTAAATTTGGATTTTAATACTTTCCACTAAATATTTAGAGTTTGGGTTTGTAGAACTATAAATCTTACCATAGAAACTTGTTTCACTTGTTTATATTCAATTTCATCCCGATATCCTGCTTGTTGAAATCTGTATAGATTTTCTATCTCTTCTGACCATTTTTTGGCATGACTTATTGATTTCGGCTTCATATTAGAACTAGCCATGGCTACAGAAGTCTTATTACCGATTATTTCTGAAAGATGTTTAAAACAAAATTAATAGCATAACCATGACAATTTTGAAAGTCTCTTTAAGAGTGAACAAAAGCACAATTAAAAAAAAATTAGAGAGTTGAGAATCCCATTAGGTATATTAAAATTTAAACATTAAATTCTAAGACTGAGAAGGATTCATGTTCTACTTTGGAAATAAAATAAATCCTGAGAGATACATAGGGAACTGTTTTTATTTCTTCATCAAATAAAATTGCATTCAGGGGACCTGGGTGGCTCAATCAGTTAAGTGGCTGACTTCGGCTCAGGTCATGATCTCACAGATCATGGGTTCGAGTCCCATGTCAGGCTCTGTGCTGACAGCTCAGAGCCTGGAGCCTGCTTTGGATTCTGTGTCTTCCTCCCTCTCTGGCCCTCCCCTGCTCACACTCTGTGTCTCTCTCTCTCAAAAATAAATAAACATTTTAAAAATTTTAAAAATAATAATAAAATTGCATTCAGAGTGTGATGCCCTAAAGGCTGTATACTAATTCTGGTGTTCTAGGCAATAGGTTACACATTTCTGAAGTCATGCTCTAATTTTTAACTACTCAGTAGGTTGTCAAAATATCTCACCATCATTCCATTTGATTATATTCAAAACTGCACCCCCCACTTTTTCTTTCTCTTAAAAAGGGAATGTAAGATCGATCTTCTTACTGTCTTCTTATTCTTTTTGCTGGGAAGCAATGGTTTCCTCTTTTTCCATGTCTTAACCAGTTGGAGACATCCCAGTCACTCCAGTCCATTCACTCAGGTGGTCACCGGCACCCTGTTCCTGCAACAGCCCGATGTGAAAAGATAGACGAACACAAAGTCCATGAAAGCTGTAAGACTGTAGGATACTGAGATCATTGATTTTACAACAAAATAAGCAGTCACCGATAGCTTCTGAGGTTCAAACATTCAACTCTAGTGCATGTAATTGTCTATTCACCAAACTTCTATAGTCAGTTTTTCAAAGACATAATCTTTAAAAAAAATTTTTTTTAATGTTTACTTATTTTTGAGAGAGAAAGACAGAGCATGAGTGGGGGAGGAGCAGACAGAGAGGGAGACACAGAATCCAAAGCAGGCTCCAGGCTCTGAGCTGTCAGCACAGAGTCCGATGTGGGGCTGGAACTCATGAACCAGGAAATCATGACCTGAGCTAAAGTCAGATGCTTAACCGACTGAGTCACCCAGGTGACCCCTTCAAAGACAGAATCTTGCGTTTGTTTTCCTAATGTCCTATAATTACCAAAATACAACAGTTAACTGAGATAAAGTGCCCAGAATTTTCACGATGATTTCTTGAATTCATTTTTCTATTAAAATATGTTCTAACTGGCTGAAATACATTCAAATTTGGCCTCATAAAGTAGGTTAATAAAAATAGATTAAGAGAGAATAGAAGGCGAAAGTCATTTATTTGAGCTTTATATATCAGTCACACACAAGTACCAACTGATTCTTCTATGAAGAAGTGAATTGGTCCAATGCTTCCTCCTACCTCCTGTAGATTCTTGTTACATTCTTAATATTCTAAAGGTTGTGGTATTTACATTCTGCCCTGAAACCGTAATTCTCACAGGTGTCTGGGCTTAGTTACAGACTTAGAGGAGTTAAAATGAAGTCCTTTGAGTTACACAGTTACTCTGATGAAAGTAGCACCCACACAAATGGATATATCATGAGTCTTGTTTGCTTTTTCACCCTACATGTATTACCAACATGTATAATGACTAGATCAGAGAAAATTAAAGGATTGTGAATACTGGATTTTAAAACACTTTTGACCCTTCTTTATTCATTTAGGTTTAAGTTCATGTTGTATTTTAAGGCAATATGTTAAGTTATTGTATGACTTTATGTATAATTTGGAATACCCCACAAAACGGTACGTGTGCCATATTTCAGTGAAGCATTTGCCCTTCATTTCCCTTCACTGTAATGGGAGGCTCACTGTTTTGTTGCTGCACAATACACTAGATACGACCAAAAGTGAGTTGGACATGTGTGGTCCAGCCTGATAATCCATTAACATATATGACTATGTAAAATCTTTTTTTTTTCCATAGCAAAATAACACGAAGAAACATAAAAAGAAAAAAAGGTGCAAATTCACCGTATAAAAATACTTTCAAAAAGTCAGGCTTGCCATATGTATTCAGTGGCTGTATTATAGTGCTTTTACAGATGAAGCATATTTTCTAAAATTTGTGGCACAATCATACTTTCTGTTTTACCCATGCCATTGCTGCTTTAGGCTCGGGTTTTTGATACATCACAAAACACTTTTATTTACGCATATTCATTCAAGAAATGGTTTCTTGAAGGTCATCTATGTAACGTTTTGTCACTTTCAAACAAAGCAATCATGTCAACTGTAAACAGAAAAATGCTTTCAATAGAAGAGCAGAAAATATGCTGCATTCGGTTGTACTGGAGAAGTAATCTTTTTTTCCCCACTAGAAATATGCATCTTCTAGACATATTAGGTATTTCAAAACTTTGTTTTCCTACAACAGCTAAAGGGAAGATCAATGCATTTTCACAACAGAAACCCGAGTGGCTCCTGAAACTATACTATCTAGTGGTGGTGCAAATCCCTCCCCTACCTTTTTGTCTGTCTTATAACTTACTTTCTACTTATTAAAAAACAGAATGAAACTAAAATTGGGAAAGATCAACTTACAGTTTTTCGATTAAATATTTCAGTAATCCTGGGAAGTTCAGTGGCAATATTAATTCCGCTAGTAACATTCAGCACTTTGAAATTTGATGGTTTACTTTGCTGACAATTGTGGCAAAAAAATAATTATTATAAAGTACATTTGATCTTGATAATGCTAAGCTGTGGCTACAGAAACAGGAAATGGTAATACCTGACTTTCTAGTTTTGTAAACATTGGATTTTAATAAACAGTATTAGGGTTTGTAGAGGTATCAAAAAGAAACCGAGCTATATCAAATCCTGGACAATCTAAGGTTCTAATCTAAAAGTAGAGCTTTTGATGTACCAACCATCTCAAACCCCCTCTAAGCAAAAGTCCTTTTCACTTCTTTTTTTGCTCTGAAAAGTGTTTTTTACCTTTAGTGGTATTAAAACCCCAAGAGCATTAGCATCCCAAATCTTCCTTTCTTTCCCTATTTTAATTTTTTCTGCTTTTTCACCACCAATTGGCAAAGGAGCCAATCAATTAACACTCCTCTGGGCTTGTTTCCCCAACCGTAAAAAACGTCTCATTAGATTTCCGACGTCCGTACACCTCCCTTCTCAAAATGTGGGAGAAGGCCAGCTGAAAAAACTCATTTCCCAAATAAGCCTTTGTAGTCTATGGTCTAGGTGTGCTGCTCTGCATGTGTGCAGCGTCAAGCCACTCCTTTCAGCCCCCACAGCTGGCCTGCCTTCTCCAGCCTCTCAAACCTTTCTTCTGCCAGAAATCTCCAATTTCGTATGTAAGGTAAACTGTGCCACAGAAGGCTGAGACGGAGAAAGAATTCTGGAAACTCGAGGCCAAATGACTGGTCCGCAGAACTCTGAAATGGGAACCCATAATAGCGGCCTCTCAAGCCCAAGAGAACGTGGGCCTGGAAGCTACTGGAAAATCAGATTCTGAAACTCAAGAAGCAGCAAACAAAGACCACCGCTAGGAGAGAAATGACAGAGACGAGCAGCACAAATCTCAGACACCACAAGCGCATGCCAGAGCGGAAGGGGCGGAGCCGAAGCTTCCGGGGGCGGGGCCCGGACAAGAGCCCCGGACTGGGCTGAGCGCTCGGGCCCCTCGGGGTCCACCCACCCGCTGGGTCGGGCTCTCCGTGGTGACCCTCGCTGACCGACCTGGAGAGGCCGAGGCACCCCTCCCGGGAGCTCGCAGGAGAGCGCGGCGGTGCTTAGGGTCCGCGGGCTGGTCAGCGAGACGCCAACTGTCGGGGCCTCGGCGACCCTTGCGTCTCCTAGCAACGCGGAGCGCCCCGCCCCGGCCCCGCCCCCTGCGAGCGGCCCTTGGGCGCAGGTGCAAGGGCTTGGCTGGCCGGTGGCCCTAGTTTGGAGAGTCAGCAGGGGTGGAGACTTGCAAGGGCTGAATGTGTTCTTTGCTTCTGCAGTCCCAGACGGAATTCCGCTGGCGATTTTAATTCCTGATAGTAGATGTGTCCTGTCTGTCCCACGCCATTTCTCATTTTGTTGAAAATAAACGAACGAGGGGCGCCTGGGTGGCTTAGTCGGTTGAGCGTCCGACTTTCACTTAGGTCATGATCTCGCGGTTCGTGGGTTCGAGCCCCGCGTCGGGCTCTGTGCTGACTGCCAGCTCGGAGCCTGGAGCCTGTTTCAGTCTGTGTCTCCCTCTCTCTCTGACCCTCCCCTGCTCACGTTGTCTTTCTCTCTCTCCTAGAAATAAATAAAAATATTAAAAAAAGAAAAAAAGAAAATAAACGAATCAACTCACAGGGTAGAGCATACTGCCTGACAATTGGTAAACCTACAATAAACAACATCCGTAATTTAAATGATTTTTCTCTATCATTACCTTTATTCGCATATTTAAAATACTATCGATCTACGTATAATTCCCAAACTTGTTTCCTCAGCCCCGATCTCTCTCTCTCTCTGAATTCCAGACCTGTATATCCAGCCTATATTCAACATGCACTTGGTTGTCCAACACAACCCCCTCTTCAAGCACCCCATCTCCGGCCTTCTCCTTCCACAGTCTTCCCCCTTCAGTAAATGGGTCCTGGAACCTTGCCCTCTTTATTCATCATTGCTGGCTTTTCTGTTCCCGGCGAGTCCAAGCCACCATCATTCCCCGCCCCCTCCCCACTCTGGTTATTGAGCGAGTCCCCAATGGGTCTCTCTTGGCCCCCCTTATCTATTCTCAACACAACAATCAATGCGATCTGTTTAAACATAATTTAGGTTGTATCCTGTGCAATGGCTCCTCATCTTAACAAAGTGAAACCCAACAAAACCCCACAAGATTTGCTCTTCCCTTGCTCTGGAGCCCTGGACTGCTCCACCCCAGCCATCCTGACCTGGCTGTTCCTGGCTTTGCTTCCATAGTGAGGCCGTATTTGTGGCTTTTGCCTCCGCCTGGAATGGTCTTGCTCCATTTATCTCTCTGGCTCTTTTTGAAGCCTTTGTTAATGTCTCAACTTGCACAGCCCCATGTCTCTAGCTCACTCTTCCCACCGTGCTCTCTTTACCCCTTACTGAGTTCTAGCGTTTCTTTCGTCCACAGCACTTAATCACCACCCCATTTACTGTTTACATTGCTTATTTCTTAATTGTATTGTCTATCATCTGCGAGAATGTGATTTCTCATTCATAACAAGAAGAGATCTTGTTAACCAAATTTCTAGAACAGTGCCTGGCACACAGTAGATGCTAAAGCAATGTATTTCAAATGAATATGTTTCACCAGCATGGCCACTATGATGCTGTGGAGGCAGTATATCGCATGGCGTCTAAGACTTGACCTTGGATTTGGATCTGGTTTTTCCTAGTTGCCACATGACTGTGCAAATTACCGAACTTCAGTTTCCTTAACTGTAAAGTGAAGACAAAACTGTACCTATCTGATAGGGTGGTTCTGAGGATGCCAATAAATATAAACCATTTAGGACAGCACCTGGGACCATATAAATGATAGGTATAGTTTCCACTCGAATGTACACTGCATTGCCACATAGGTTTGTCTCTACTTTGCTCACTGTGGTAACTTTAATGTTCAGAATAGTGGCCAACACACAGTAGCTGGTCAGGGACTGTTTGTTGAATAAAGAAATGAATCCACACCATTGGAGTATTGTGGCAGCTTCCCACCAGCATGCCCTGCCCCAGACTGCCCGGGTGTTCTTTCTAACTCAAATTGCTTTCACACCCAGTCCCCTGGAGCGTGTGTTAAAATAGATCGCTTGAGAGTTCTAATTCAGCATGTCTGGGCTACAGTAGAAATTTTGCATTAAAAATAAAAACACTTTAAGTAGGCTCCATACCTAGTATGGAGCTTGAATTCACAACCCTGAGATCAACCAAGCCAGCCAGGAGCCCCAAGATTTTGCATTTCTAATAGGTTCACAAATGCTGTTGGTGATACTCTTACAGGTCCATACTTTGAGAAATATTGTTCTGATCTCACCTGTCACTGTCTTGTTTCAGACCACCCAGGCTTCTCACTGCCACTCAAGTTAAACTCTTCAGTTTGGTCTGGTCCCTTCTTACCCAGCTTAGCCTTGACTTCCTCTGTTAAGTCCCTATTATTTTATCCCCTTTGCCCCTAGGGCTTTGGTTAAAAGGAATCATTTGCAGTTCCCAAACTGAATAAATTCCTCATAATTGAGCTCTTCTGCCTGACGTCCACACCAGATTCTGAGCACACTTCCATTAAAGCACCTGCAGAACTTCTTGCATTTGTTTATTTCCATGAGTTCCCACTTCCACCAGATCGTAAGCTCTTGTTCCATGGCTGATTCCTCTATGTACATCCAGGTCAAGCACAGTGCCTGACACTTAGTGGGTGCTCAGGAGATAAGAATAAAAGCTAATATTTATTGAGTACCTACCATTTTCCAGGACTTTTGTTTTTCCTTTTACAGTTTATTGTCAACATGTAACACCATATAACACCCAGTGCCCATCCCAACAAGAGCCCTCCTCCATGCCCATCACCCCCCCTTTCCCACTTCCCCTCCCCCATCAGCCCTCAGTTTGTTCGCAGTATTCAAGAGTCTCTCATGGTTTGCCTCCCTTCCCCTCCACCACAGTCCTCAGTTAAGTTTCTCCTGTTCCACTTATGAGTGAAAGCATATGGTATCTGTCCTTCTCTGCCTGACGTATTTCACTTAGCATAACACCCTCGAGGTCCATCCCCATTGCTACAAATGTCCAGATTTCATTCTTTCGCATTCCCGTGTAGTATTCCATCGTATAGATAAAACCACATCTTCTTGATCCATTCATCAGTTGATGGATATTTGGGCTCTTTCCATGATTTGGCTATTGTTGAAAGTGCTGCTGTGAACATTGGGGTACAATGTATCTCTTGGATACATGCATCAGCACTTCTGTATCTCTTGGATAGATTCCTAGCAGTGCTATTGCTGGGTCCTAGGGGAGTTCTAGTGTTAATTTTTGAGGAACCTCCACATTATTTTCCAGAACGGCTGCACCAGTTTACATTCCCACCAACAGTGTAGGAGGGCGCCCCTTTCTCCACATCCTCGCCAGCATCTAGAGTCTCCTGGTTTGTTCCTTTTTGCCAGTCTGACCGGCGTGAGGTGGTATCTCAGTGTGGTTTTGATTTGTATTTCTCTGATAAGGAGGGATGCTGAACATCGTTTCATGTGTCCATTGGCCATCCGGATGTCCTCTTTGGAGAAGTGTCTGTTCATGTCTTCTGCCCATTTCTTCACTGGATTATTTGTTTTTCAGGTGTGGAGTTTGGTGAGTTCCTCATAGATTTTGGATACTAGCCCTTTATCTGATATGTCATTTGCAACTATCTTTTCCCATTCTGTCAGTTGCCTATTAGTTTTATGGATTGTTTTCTTTGCCGTGCAGAAGCTTTTTATCTTGATGAGGTCCCAAGAGTTCATTTTTGCTCTTGATTCCTTTGCCTTTGGAGATGTGTCAAGTAAGAAATTGCTGTGGTTGAGGTCAAGGAGGTTGTTTCCTGCTTTCTCCTCTAGGGTTTTGATGGTTTCCTGTCTCACAGTCAGGTCCTTCATCCCCTTTGAGTTTATTTTTGTGTATGGTGTGAGAAAGTGGCCTAGTTTCATTCTTTTGCATGTTGCTCTCCAGTTCTCCCAGAACCATCTGTTAAAGAGGCTGTCTTTTTTCCACTGGATACTTTTTCCTGCTTTGTCAAAGATTAATTGGCCATACATTTATGGGTCCAGTTCTGGATTCTCTATTCTATTCCATTGGCCTATGTATCAGTTTTTGTGCCAATACCATACTATCTTGATGATGACAGCTTTGTAGTAGAGGCTAAAGTCTGGGAATATGATGCCTCCCATTTTGGTTTTCTTCTTCAATATTACTTTGACTATTCCCATTTTCCAGGACTTTTTGGGTGGACTCCCTTCCCTCCTTCCTTCCTTCTTTCCTTCTTCCTTCCCTCTTCCTTCCTCCCTCCCTCCCTCCCACTCTCTTTCTTTCTTTCCTTCCTTCCTTCTTTTTTCTTAGTTAAATAATAACACTTTTTAATCAAAGGGTTGAGAGTAGGAAGAATGAAGAAGAGATATTGGTGGTAGAGAGATATATGAAACTAATGGAAAATACACACACATTGTAATTTTTCAAAGCCACCTTCTGTTATGTGAATTAGCCGTTGTCTTCTTAACTCCTCCAGAGAAGGGATATCCTTGCCAATCTTGTTCACTCTGTCCACATTCTCCCATACACTCTCCAAACATTTAAAAAACAAATCCATGGAGCTGTCATTGAAATGCTCTCAATAGCACATATTCACCAGAGTATAATTTGATAAGTTTTGACATATGCCTACATCTGTTGTTTCCTGTGCCCCCAGCCAACTGCTGATTTGCTTCCTGTCACTTTGGATCAGTTCACATTTTCCATAATCTACATAAAGGGAATAGTACACTATGATCTCAGACTTCCAGCTTCCAGAAGTATGAAACAATTAGGTTTCCGTTGTTTAAGTCACCCAGTCTGTGGGACTTGTTACAGCAGCCCTCACACATAAGGACACTTTTTAAAAAACATATTTCATGGCGTACTTCCTAGTGGGACACTTCTTTTCTTCTAAAAGTGTAGTATAGAATATAGCGAACTTATAACACAAGTTTATTTATATTGACAACAGCTTATAAAATAAGAAAAGTATATCTGCTAGTGATTTCCCAGCAAAGACTTATGCCTACCTCAAGAACTCCTTTTTTGGGATTTAATATACACTTGGTAGCAGTTTTCAGTCCTGTTGAGGTGAAACAAAGCAGAAGTCCAAAGAGCTTGGGATAACAGAAGGATTCCCAAGTAGGGAAGGACGACACATAGCAGTTGCTGCTGTTGTTGACTACATTTCAGTTTTCTCTATTAGCAGCCGCAGGAGGCATTTCTCTTGGAATGCAGTATCCAGCAAACTTGGATTCTCCTTAAAATGTGTGTTTTATTTTTGACCCGAGGATATTAAAGCCTACTCAGTGATTGTGGCTTCCTCTAGAAGAGCCAAATAATTGGCTGACTTCTCCCAAGGGTACACGTGTGCATGTCTGTGGCCTATGCTCACCCATCTTCATTACTATCTCACCTATCTTTACCCCTTTATCCTGAATCTCTTTTTCCCTTTATGCTTTCATACTGTATCCGTCGTGGAAAGAAGAGAGGATACATAGGTGGATAGATAAGAATATGAGTAGTATCTTGGTCTGTCTTGCCAGGAGTTCTCACTGCGGAATTTGGTGTTAGGTATAGACAGCTTAGTCCTCCTTTATTCGAAGACAAACCTTCTTCTACCCAATCAAAGGTGTTGGCAATAGTATACTTGCAGACTGCTTTACTCAGATGAGTGATTATGATGTCATTCCATTCCCACTCACCCTTCTTCCTCTGAGGGTGTCATTCTGATTCCTAATTCCACTGCTTAAAATCAATTGTTCTTGGATTTTTTCCCCCAAATTACTTTGCGTCTCTGCGGAAGCATTTGTTTACCATATTTTGCAAAGGTGTTGTCTCCAAATGGATTGAAAACGTATCTGAAGGCACATCTTAGTCATCTATGTAAACGCTGCAAGGCTTATTACAGTGGTATGCACAAAGCAAGACCTCAAGAGTGTTCAAGGTGTTTCTGATTATTAATATTGAGGTGTTTAAAGGAAACTTGCTAGGAAAAGGCCCAACTAATGGCCCATTCACCATTCGGTGATGCTTAATATTTTAACAAACCTTTTCATAAAGTTGCTTTGGTAGTTAAAAAAATTCAGATCTTACCCCCCCTAAAGACCTGACCCTTTTCACCTGCCACTTTTTTTTTCTTTTATATATCCTACCATTTTTTTTTTTCTTTTATATATCCTTTGAACTTCTAAAAGTACAGCTCAAAAGGATGGTGGGCTCGTGGCGGGGGAGGAGGGGAGAAGGCCAGCCCCTAAGCTAACCTTGGGATCTTTACTTACCTACCCTAGGATCACGCATCAGAGTTCTGATCACCGGGGATTGTTTATTTACTGTGTGTAGGTTACACATGGAAGTGCGAACTAACAGTTATTGAATCTACCGTAAGTCACATACAATTTTTTTCTTCATACGATCCTCATGCTTAAAATCCCCTAAGATAGAAACTGGGAAGAGACGGAAGGAAGAAACTAAGCTTGGCTTTCAGGCTCTCAGGAGGCAAGCAGGAGGGGGAACGCAGTCGGATTTCAAAGCGAAGCTCCGCATCCCTTTCGTGTCTTTGTCTCGGGTGGAGCACCTGCTACGGGTGTTCAGTTTCCCTTCGCGCTATCGTTCCTGCACAGATAACGGGCACTCTGCACCAGAACGACACCCGTGTTGAGTCCAAGTTCCTGGCAGCCGCACCCTCTTGGCCCCACGCCCTAGATCCTAGCCGGGTCTTCCCAGCCCTAGGCTCTGCGGCTGCCGCAGCCCAGTATTGCGCAGCTCGGGTATTTAACTCCCAGGGTCGCGGGCTGCGGACCCGCCCCCGAGGCTCTTCGGCACCGCCCCTGCCACCGCACGGCTCCTCTGATTGGACGTGGCTGCGCCCGGCTGGCCAATGGCGCGGCGGCGGCAGGGTCCCGGAAGTGGCGGCGGGGCCCGGGAAGGAGTCAGTTTCCGCAGGCTGAGTCGGGGCCGGTGCAGCCGGGCTTGGCGGGTGCTATGAGTTGCTTCCAGGGACAGATGGCCGAGTACCCAACCATCTCCATAGACCGCTTCGACAGGGAGAACCTGAAGGCCCGCGCCTACTTCCTGTCGCACTGCCACAAGGGTGAGAGCGCGCGGCTCGCCCCCCACCCTGGGGGACGCGGGCTGCCGGGGTCCGGGTGGCCGGGATGCTAGGCGGCTCCAGCCGGGGAGTGCAGGCTTCAGGAGGCCGGGGCCGTGACTAGCAAGTGCACCTTATCCCAGCCTGGCTCTTCAAACTTCTCTGCGGCTTTATTGCCTCATCTGTACAACGGGACAGAACCGAAACTGCGGGCTGCGCCTTGACCCGGGCCGGTTTGACCAGGCATAACTATTAGGCTCTCGTGGTAGCTCTCCTAGCAGCCCGTAGTCCGAGGTCAGCGAGGATTACTCCCTTCTTCCTCCACATCTTCGCTAGTGTTCTAAAGAAGGTAAGTTTTAGATGAAATTCCGCCATAGCCCCCAAGCGCTTACTATCAGGCAGGTGCATTCACTCACAAACATCCTGTCTGTCAGCTCTACGAAGTGCAAGTTCCCCCTCCTTTTAGATGTTCTGGCCTCATACAGTATAAAAGGTTCGTGTAAGGGTAGGCAACCAGAATGCTAAGATTGCCGGGTAGCCCAGGGTTAGGGATTAAGCCTCGAGTCACCCCTAGTAATACAGCCTGGAGGCTGGATGCTCCAGGTGAAGCTGCGGTGTCTCTAAAACGTTCTGGCCAATCTTCAGAGCTGGAGTAGCTCCAGTTTCACAACCATTGTCCACTTTTAACTTCTCCTGTGCTGAAGTTACTGCTTTGCGGAAATGCCTGTGCTTTCTTGCCCTAACCTACGAATTCTCTCCTTAATGAGGAAAATCTGGATTTCCCCTAGCGTTTTGCAAAATAGCACCGTGAGCTTTTTTGAGGGTCTTTCTACTTCTTCTCAAGAGTAACGCTTTTGTTTTTGCTTTGTTTCTCATTGTGAATCGACTGCCGGGTGGGGGTGCCTCTGTTGTGCCTTTTTTCTGGAGTCTCACCGGAGTTTGTAAGCCAAATGTGATAGCGGTGATTGAAGTTCGGCGTAGGGGTTCGCCCTTTATGTTTTCAAGGAATGGGTTTGGAAAAAGAATCCATCTAAAAGAATCTGAAGAATTGATCATTGGTTTGTACATTAAAGAGAAAGTTGACTTTCTATTAATTGAGCTGTTTATAATAACTTTTCCTGTTCTCTAATCACATGTGCATCTCTTTACTCAATCAGGACGTAAACTCATCAAAGCAAGAACTTGTGCTTTCAGAAATTTCCCACACTGCTCACAGGTGTTTTTTTTAACCTTTTTGAGAAATAGATTTCTTCGGATGTGCTATGGACTGAATTGTGCATTCCCCCTCCCCAATTTCATATGTTGAAGCCCTAAGCCCCCATGTGACTGTATTTGACGATGGGGCTTTTAGGGGGCATTGCAAGTGCAATGAGGTTGTAAGGGCGGGGTCCTAATTTGTTAGGATCGATGGCCTTATAAAAAGAGGAAGAGAGGTTTCTCTCTCTATTCACATACACACACTGAGGCAAGGCCGTGTGAACACACAGCTAGACGGTGGCAAGCCAGGAAATGTCTCACCAGAAGCCAACCTTGATCTTGGAATTGAGCGTCCAGAGCTCTGAGAAGTTTCTGTGGTTTAAGCCGCCTTGTCTATGGTATTTCGTTATGTCAGTCTGAGCAGACTAACACAGAATATCTGATAAATGCTATGGGGTTTGAAAGAAAAAAATCGCATAGATGCATTAACATCACATTTTGATACAACATCAGATCCCATGGCCCACTGGGTGCCTGTTTGTGGGCCGCCAGGCTCCCAGCGCTGTGCTCAGGGCAGGCTGTACTAGGCCTCAGGAAGGCCTGGAGGACGAGAGGGGACCTATGGCCTGAGATAGTGGGCCGTGGTGGGAGAAGGCCCCCCGAGGGAACAATTGACGAGGACGTAATCTGGTCCAGGAAAAGGGGACAGGCCCTGGAGAGGAGACCCTGGGTGCAGTCTAAGCACAAAGGAACCTGGCCCAGTTCTCTAGGCCGCCGGTCAGGAAGGGAGCTGCGGTGGTCCTTGGCCATCTTGAGTAGAACAGCTTGTTCTGAATAATAGTAGTTTACTATAACCACACTTTCTGGGTCGTGGAGGAAAACTTTTTTAATTAGAAGCGAAAGGAGTGTATGGAATTCAACAATTATAGTCAGCATAAAAGGGAGAGAAGGATAGAGAAGGGTCAGTACATCAAACCAGGTACTCACAGAATCCAACCTTCTGGCGGGGAGTGGCCCTCGGTGAACAGCCTGGTTGAGGGTCCTGGGCGGGACGTTCTCCCCTCTGGTGAGGCCTCCAAGAAGCTCTTCCCGCCAGGGCAGTATGTACACTACCGTGTGTGATCTCTGGTCAGTCATGAGGTTTGCCGAAGTGCATTCCCGAGCCAGCTGGTTTTTCTGTTTCCCTTACCGTATCTCAGAATCTTCTGAGCCTGCGCGGCTGCATATTTCTCTCCCCCGCCCCCCCCCCCCCCCCCCCCCCCGCCATCCATTCCAGGAGGCCAGCCTGGTCCGCCTCAAGGGGGTGAGGCAAGTTAATCCCTCTTGGCATCAGGAACAGAAGGGCCGGTTCTGATCCCGAAGTCAGATACGGAGCACAAGCCAAGTAAGCTCCTCGTGATTGTGTATGTGCGGCCCTGGGTAGAGATGCGTGACACGTCACACAAACACCTTCTACACAGCACAGCTGTGGAGTTGTGCCTGCTGATTTAGTTGAGGAGTAAGGAGCTGAGTCCTGATTCAGCCTCTTTTTGCCGTGGTACAGATTCTTGGGGAGTCCCAATGTAGGTGCTGCCCTGGGATGTCCCCATGGGCCCTAAAAGCCTGGGGCCGGGAGTGATCTGCGGACGTTCACCCTCCAAGGGACCAAGTGAACTGCCCTGTGCAGGCACATGTCTTGTCAGGGTCTGCCACGTGGGGAGTGGTGACTGCCTTGTTTTCTCTGCAGTTCATGTAATTTGATGAGTGAGTGAGTGAGTGAGTGAGTGTGTGTGTGTGTCTGGTGGTAATTAAAATAATTGGGATTGGTTTGATTCAACCAAATTGAGAAGGTGTGGTCATTGCTGTCTAGTCCTTCCCATGCTGAAGATTCAGAATGCTTTAGAATGCATCATATGTTTAATGTACTGTTTGGTTTAAATGTTATCTTTCTTTAAGGCTGTCTCTCTGCATCTGTTAATTCGGATGGCTGTGGAGCAGGCCTGTGTGAACGGAAACACGCCACCTTTCAGCCCAGTAGTCACAGCAGGCTAAGAAGAGAATGAAACTCTTCTTTTTTCCCTCCCTTTTTTAAAAAGTGTATTTATTTATTTTGAGAGAGAATGAGAGGCTGAATGGAGGAGGGGAGAGAGAGAGGGGAGGGAGAGGATCCCAAGCAGACCCCATGCTCAGCGCAGAGCCCAGTGCGGGGCTCGATCTCACAACTGTGAGAAATCAAATCAGAAATAAGTCAGATGCTTAACTGACTGAGCCACCCAGGTGCCCCCGAGAAGAGACTGGAACTCGTCTGACGCTGGCCTAAGCCTGCAAGAGTTTCTGGAGGCATCTGTGGAAGCAAGCTTGGGTTTCCAGATGGACTAACGTAAGTGACCGGAATGGAATGGTTCACAGAGAATGTGTCCCGAAGGATGGTTGGATTGAAATGAAGGAAGAATATCAAGTCTGGAAGCCGTTCTGAAGTGAGAGGCTGGTCACTCATTCTCCTGTGGCTGCTCAGAGTGATTTAGACTCAGTCCTAAGATGCAGGAGATCATTGTCCCTTTAAACAATGGCCAGAGATGGTCAGCTTTTAGTGCTTCCTGGCCTGTTTTCAGTGCCCTCTCCAGCTGTGGAAGAAGGAGCCAATGGTCCACACGAATCCGCGTCTGTTCTCTTACTAAAGTGGACCTCTCGTGTATTTTCTCATAAAAGGAAGCTTAAGAAGAACAGCCAACTGTTTGCTTGGTCTAAGGAATCCTCTCAAAAAAATGTGATTGTGATTTTTAATTCTTTTGTTTTCAGATCACATGAAAGGATTAAGAGCCCCTGCCTTGAAAAGAAGGTTGCAGTGCAGGTAATTTATTTTGCTGTGTGTGTGTGTGTGTGTGTGTGTGTGTTAAACTTTATTTTGAGGGAGAGACAGAGCATGCGCCTGCAGGGGAGGGGCAGAGAGAGCGAGCGAGGATCCGAAGCAGGCTTCATGCTGTCAGTGCAGGGCTGGATGTGTCGTAAACCAGTGCATGTGTGTCGTAAAACAAGCAGTGCATGTGTGTCGTAAACCAAGCAGTGCATGTGTGTCGTAAACCAAAAGATCATGACCTGAGCTGAAGCCAAGAGTTGGACACTTAACCGACTGAGCCCCCCAGATGCCTCATATGTGGTTTTTTTTTAAGTAAACATTTTAATTGAGCTGCAACTTCTATGCAGAAAAGCACATACAGCATAAGGGTACAATCTGATGAACTTTTACAGGTGAACACATCCCTGAAGCTTCCACCCAGATCTAGAAATAGAACAGGACCAGCGTCCCCGAACAGAGCCCCGTCCCTCCTAGTCAGTCCTCATCTCCCAGAGACCACCTGTCTTCTGACTTGTCATCAGGGTTTAGCTTTGGCTGCGTTTGAACTCTGTGGAAATAGAATCATCCTGAACAGACTCCTCTCTTTGTTCTCTTTCACTTAACATTACAGCTGTAGGATTCGTCATGCGTTTGGGCGTGCGGCCACAGCGTGTTCATTTTCATTTCTGTGTACACACATGTGCGTATATCTAGTTGTGTTGTGAAGAAAACCGCGTGTTCTTGGGTTTTAAAGCTAAATGACTACATTCTTTTCCTACAGGCATTGCCTAAATGTCAATAACAAATCTCCAGATAGGTATCGGAAAGGGCCTTGTTGACCTGTTAACTTCTGAACCAGTCAGTCTTCTCTCTGTGAATTGGTATCAGTAGTCTGCGTTCTTGCGAATGATAGTATGTGTTGATTACTTATATATGCCAGGCACTAGCCATTTATTAGTTCAGCAGTTTCTTTGAGCGTCGGTAATGAGTCAGGCCCTATATTGCGTGTTGCGGATATAATAGTGACAACACAGGTGAAAATCCTGTTCTTGGAGCTGAGGTCCTCATCTGAGCCTCTTGATAGCTTTTGTGAATAGATACCATTATTATTTCTGTTTTACAGTTGAGGAAACCGAGGAGCCAGAAAGGTTCAATTAGTTGCCCAAGGTCACGAGGCAGTAAGTGGCAGCACCAGGATTTCAACCAGTTCTGATTTTAGAGGCTGTGTATTAGTTATCTGTTGCTGCGTAACAAATCACCTCAAAGCAAAGCTCAGTGACTTAGGACAGCTAATCATATATTCTGTTTCTCAGTCTCTGTGGGTCGGGAACTCTGATGGGGTGCGGTGTGGGTGGCTGGCTTCTGCCTGGTGGGGTGTCATATGGGGGCTGCCGGTATTTGGAGGCCTGTTCAATCAGTGTCTGACGCCCAGGCTGAGAAGAACCATGCACCTGGGGCTTTGGGGCCTCTCTGTCACTAGCAGAGATCTTCAGCATGGTGGTTTCAAGGTAGCTGAACTTCTTAAAGAGAGACTCAGGGCGTAAAAGTGTATGTGCTAAGGGGGAGTTAGCAGGTAGCCATGTTGCCCAGAAGACGTAGCCTCCAAAGTCCTTGCAGCCTTCCTTGATCACGCTCTGTCGCTTACAAAGACAGGTTGAAGGGGAGCTTAAAACAGACCCCTCCTGTTAGTGGAGGAATTTCCATTTTGTAAAAAAGAGCACGTATAGCTGGGATATGCATTAGTGTGGCCATCTTTGGAAAATATGGTCCACTGCACACTATTTTTTTTAATTAATTTTTTCTTTCATAGTTTATTGCCAAGTTGGTTTCCATAGAACACCTACACACTATATTTTTGATCTCTGAGCTTTGCTTTTGAATTTTTGAAGTTTATTATGAAATTGATTTTTGCTAAGTAACAGGTTTATATGAAGTTAAAAACAAGTCTTCCGTTCCCCCCACCCCTTTCTATTCTTGAGAGGTGGCTTCATTTGATCTTATCTTTCTGGACATATCTAATCATGTACAAACATGTATCTTTCACCTCAGAGTGATGGGGAAGACCATTTTGAGGAGGTCAGAGGGCACGGTAGTTTTGTTCATTTGCTGCTTTGCTTCCCTGTTGTCCCTTTGCACTCATTGTTTTCCAAAGATTTTTATTTTCTTTTTTTAATGTTTATTTTTGAGAAAGAGAGGGAGGGAGAGAGAGAGAGAAACAGAGAGACAGAGCGCGAGGTGGGGAGGGGCAGAGAGAGACAGAGACACAGAATCCAAAGCATACTGTAGGCTCCGAGCTGTCAGCACAGAGCCGGACACGGGGCTTGAACCCACCGACCGCGAGATCGTGACCTGAGCTGAAGTCAGAGGCTTAACTGACTGAGTCACCCAGGTGCCCCTAAGATTTTTATTTTTAAGGAATCTCTACACCAAACATGGGGCTCTAACTTACAACCCTGAGATCAGGAGTGGCATGCTCCACCGACTGAGCCAGCCAGGTGCCCCCTTTTGAAGTCTTGATGGGACCAAAATAGTCACAGTTGGTGGCATGTTGGGACTACTCTGACGCTTTTTTTTTTTTTTTTTTAGTTCATTTGTTATTGAGGGAGAGAGTGAGCAAGCAGGGGAGGGGCAGAGAGAGGGAGACAGAATCCCAAGCAGGCTCTGCACTGTCACCACAGAGCCCAATGCAAGGCTCGAACTCTAGAACTGCCAGATCATGACCTCAAGTCAGAGGCTCAACCTGAACCAAAATCAAGAGTTGGACGCCTAACCCAGGCACCCCTACTCCGATGGTTTTTAAGCCAGCTCAGTTTGAGTGATTGGAGACAACTGACATACGATGAAATGTATTTCCTGGCCACCCAGCTGGCTCCTTTTGGATTGTACTGAAACGGCTTTTCTCCATTTCTCCCTTTCAGCTTGAAGGTTTATTTATACTGTTCACCTGTTACTAAAGAGCTGTTGTTAACTAACCCGAAGTACAGATTTTGGGAGAAACGAATTGTAAGTTTCATTTTTTAAATGGCGTGAATTCTGTTTCTCAAGTGGGAAATCTTTTTCAAGGTAGATTGAACAACTCATTGGCATTATTCAAAGCCCAGTTCTTGCTACACTACATTTATCCACACGAATTACAATATTGATGCTTAGTGTTAGTAATTCATCAGTATAGAAGAGGTTGGTTGGCATTTTATTGTTGCAGATTTGTTTTTCTTATCTCTGAACAGTTTGGTTGAGGGTCTTAGTTTCATTGGTTTAATCTCATTAACTCTTGCTAAGTTGTATTTTAATACTTCAAAGTGTAAAATGTTTATTGACACAATTGATAAATCCTTTTATTTAGGTCATGGCATAGTTTAGGAAAAATGAACACATCTTCTGGGTTATAATAAGGGATAATGACTGGAGTAAAAATAGGAGGGGCAGCTTTGAATCTGACGGAATAAATTGGATCTGTCCAATGGAAAGTAGATAGTAAAGTGGAGAAGCAGAAGAATGGTACGTGGAAAATGTGAAGAGGACAGGAAACGTTCTATTATAACAGTAATTACTATCAATATGGCTTTAATTCAGTTCTCTCAAAATGTAGTTTTCTCATTTTAGTTTTAAAAAAAAAAGGATGATCCATCAAGTCCTTGTTAGTCTCAAGTTATCTCAAGTTATCAAGTCCAAGTTATCTCAAAGAAGAAGAAAAGATGTACCAAACAATTAGAAAGTAAAAATGCCAGGGTGGCAATGTTTACATCATACGAAATAGAATCGAAGGCAAAAAAAAAAAAAAAAGATCTTAAGTTTCAAAGAGGATGATATTTACCGTCAGCAGGAACAATGGTCAGGAAGACATGAGCTTACATGCAATTGACAGCGGAGCGTCGGAGTGGACAGGGTCGTAACTGATCACCCGTGTGCTTGATCAGAGAGAGGGAACTGCACTGGGGGAATACAGTTAGGCTTCACTCTACGGATTAAGCCTTAAATAATCGTGGGAGCTGACAGAGAAGTGTGAACAAGTGTCAGCGAGTCTGTTTGATGTTTGTCTGCTGACAGCTCTCGACTCTCACATCCTCTTTCCACGTCTGCCCCACATTCGGGCCCCTCATAGAAGCCTCCCCTCCCTTGGCTCTGACCTGAAGTTCAAACCACGCAAGCCCAGGCACACCCCGTAACCACAGTGAAACCCAGGGCCGCTCACTCCTACCCGCTCTCAGGCCACAAGAGCCACTTCCTCACAGCTGGGGCACTGCCCTCCTTTCCCCCCGAAAGTGTGTTCATACACTCTCGGTGCACGTGTGGCATCTTCAGCCTCCACCTCTGGGGTGGGGTCCGTCCCCACTCCGCAGGAGGACACAACGGCAAGGCTGTAACCTTGGCCTGGGTATTCGGCCTGAAGTTGCCGCGGATCACCCCGGCCAGCTGTGGGGAAGGCGGCTGAGCAAGCAACGAAGAGGAGCAGAGAGAGGCTGGAACCTTCAGGGACAAATGGGAACTCCCGTCTGTCTTCCACTCCTCCCTGCCCTGTAGTGCTGCAGCCTGTGTTGCCACCGAGTTGCACCCCCCTGACCCAGGCCCCTGAGAAGCAGAGGATGTGCAGCCCGAGGTGGGGTTGCCATGGTCCTGCCCTGCGCCTGCGGGTTGAGCCAGCAGATCTCAGCTTGCTGGAGCGTTAGAACTTCTGGCGCCCTTCAGAGCATTAAGAAATGGCTGCTGCTTCCCTTGGGCCTTCCAGATCTCACGCAGAGGTTCCCTGGGGCCAGTCCCAAGCGGGAGGCATGCATGGAAGGGACTTCGAGGACGGTCCCAGCTCAGCTAACTCGATGTGGTACAAGGGCCACCTCCCAATCCAAGGAACACCAGGCAGCCCTACTGTGGTAGCTGGAGCACTCCCCACGCCACTCTGAGATGCTGGAGACGAAGGTGGCAGGCAGTAAATGAAGAGACAGAAGATTTGAAGGACATAATAAATGGGAACTTATAGTAATCCATAGCTTCACACTCACAGGGAAAACAAGATCTTTGGTGTATTTGGGATATTCACAACTGACCACATCCTGGGTCACACATAAGTAAATCCTAGCGATCTGTGCTCTGACCACAGTGCAGTGATGCTGGGAGCCACAAATAAAAGGAGAGATAAAATCATCCCACACACATGGGAACAAATGCATACAATAGAGGAAACTGTAAAGAAAAACATGCAATACTTAGAACCGATGGACAGTGAGAACGCGACACATCAACATGTGTGGAACGTGGCTGAATTAGTGCTTGAAGGGAAATTGATAGCATTAAGTACATTTCTTAGGAAACAAAGAGTAGAAGTAAATGCAGTAGGTCTTCAACTCAATAAGAAGGAAAAGGAACAACAAAGCAAATCTAAGTGTATGTGGAAGAAGGAAATTAATAAAGATAAAAGGACAAGTTAGCGATATAGAGATGCACGGTCACCACAGAAAATAAAGGGGAAGGTTAACAAAAGTAAAAGCTCATCCTTGGAGGAACAGAGATATATTTCTGCCAAGATAGATTTAAAAAAAGAAAATGCATATAAAAATACAGAATGATAAAAAGGAAAACTATTGATAGGAGTAATACAGTTGTTGAAAATTAAGACAGTATGTTTAATCGTTTAGACAGAGTGGGTAAGTGGATAAAAATCTAGATAAGCAGGGAAATACCAAATTGAGGCAAGAGAAGTGGAGAACTTGAATATATAAACATTGAAGAAATTAAAACAACTTACAAAGATCACCTCTTCAATAAAGCCCCAGGTCCAGATGGTTTCATAGGTGCATTTTGCCAAATGTTCGAAGGACAAACAATCCCCACACCAGATCAGTTTTTGTAGGATGTAATAGATGAGCTGCTCACCTTGCCAACAAAATTGATAAAGATAGTGCAAGGGGGAGAAAGGCCATTCCATATGTGACCGTGTGACCATCCTAACCAGATAATAGCTAACTGAATCTGACAGTAGTAAACAATAGTGCCTTGTGGACACAGTGTTTGTTCCAGAATGCAAGGACATTCTTAACATCCGAGTCTCCGTCGCTGTAAGTTTTATGAAAAATTAGGTTACTTCGTTTGTCAGCTTCTTACTGAATGCCTCTCTTGCTAGTTGCTGTTCTAGTAAACTGTGCAAGGGCACCGTGGGGCCCTCTGCTCTCTGGATTAGGCCAACACCTCCTGGACTGACCCAGGCTGTGTTTGCCAGCATGAAACCTAAACACGCAGAGCACGTGACCGTGTGTTTTACAAAGATTCAAGTTCATAGGGAGCGGGAGTAGAGGGATGGAGAGGTGAAAGGAGAACAGTTGAATTCTTTCTTTTTTTTTTAAATTTTTATTTTTAATGTTTGTTTATTTTTGAGAGAAAGAGAAAGACAGAGAGTGAGTAGAGAAGGGATAGAGAGAGAGGGAGACACAGAATCCAAAGCAGGCTCCAGGCTCTGAGCTGTCAGCACAGGGAGAACAGTTGAATTCATGGAAACAGAATTGCTGGGTCAAAGGATATCTAGGGTCTGTAAGTTTATAAGGCATTTAATCCGAGTTGCCACGTGAGCCACGAGAAAGGCAGTGCTTTTGCTCGGTCATGTTTCCAATCTGTTAAAACATTTCGTATAGTGAAAAAAATCAGAAAATTGTTATGTAGGCTTAGGAACTTCTTCTCTTTGTCCCTGTTTTGTGTTTGAGATGTCAGAGGTACATAAAGCCCTGAAAAACTGTGTGTGATGATGTCTATGTGACCTCTTATTTTAATAGATATCAATTGAAGTTGAAACTCCTACCCAGATATCGTTAGTCGATGAAGCGTCAGGTAAGGTAAGTATATATTAAATACAATTTTAAAAAGTATTGAGTGATAAAATGATTATCTTCCTCTGTGATTTCAAATGTTCATTTAACTGTAAATAAAACTTATAGTAATCGAATGAGTTTGTAAGGGGAAAAGCTTGTGATGCGTTTATCTTCTCCATCCTAAGGTTTGGACGTGACTTCTGTCCAAGTTGCTCCTTTCTAGTGGTACCTGTCAGTGGTGAAGACTCCAAGTTGTTGATATTACTGTGTGGTGTCATGGTCACATTTATGAAGCTGATTATAATATTCAGGACATAAAATGGTGCTTAATGCTTTTGTAGAAAATTTATGTATATTGTGATTTTTTTTTCCTGAATCATTTTCTTATTTAAGAAAGAGACGCTGTCCAAGTGGACTCAATGAACTTTTGTCCTTAAATTTAGAAGCAGGTACTTTGGGGTTGTGAATGTATTGTTTTAATAATAAGCAGGACTGTGGACCTACTATTTATTTATTCATTTATTGACATGCGTGTGGGAGAGGCAGAGAGATAGGGAGAGGGAGACACAATGCCAAGCAGGCCTCCACACTGTCAGCATGGAGCCCGGTGTGGGGCTCAATCCCACACACTGCAGGATCATGACCTGAGCTGAAATCAAGAGTCGACGCTTTGGGGCGGCTGGGTGGCTCAGTTGATTAAGCATCTGACTTTTGGTTTCAGCTCAGATTATGGTCTTGAGATTCATAGGTTCAAGCCTGGCATTGGGCTCTGTGCTGAAAGTGCGGAGCCTGCTTGGGATTCTCTCTCTCTCGACCCCTCCCCCACTTGCTCTCTGTCCCTCTCTCAAAAAATAAACAAAAAAATTTTTAAAAAAGTCAGCACTCAACTGACTGAGCCACCCAGATGCCACACTTTTATTTATTTATTTATTTACTTATTTATTTATTTATTTATGTGTTTTACCTCAAATTACCCCTAGGGTTGGGAGGTATTTTCCTGTTTCATGGAAACTCTAGTTAATATTCATCCCATGGCCTGGGTGTGACTGCTTTGGTCACACGTGGAGCCCCGTGGGGTGTCTATTGTGTCACTACCATCAGGCAGAGGGGGACTTCTCACATTTCCTCTCTGGAGGAGATCAGGCGTGTAAAGTAGTCCTCACTGAATTGCTGCCCGAGGGAGGACTATATGCGACTTAGAAGTCACCAAGATGTATTTCCTTTCTCCGGTTGAAAGGGAGGGAAAAAGGGAAGCCTGAAGGTTCCTAACGGAACTCAGGTCGCTAACGCTTTTCGGAGACTCCTCTAATTGCCTTGCCCCAGCAGCAGGTGAGAGGCCTCCTCAAAACTGGGCACCGGACAGCAGGCAGCTGTCGCTGACCTGAGTCTTGCTGTCCCGCTCTGGTCCTTCGTTTCTTCTTGTGCGCTGTGGCTTTGGGTGTTGTGTCTCCAGTACTTAGCCCAGGACCGTGCTTTAAAGGAGCCACCAGAGTAGATGACGGTAGACTTCCGGGACAACTTGCCCCTATCACGTGGTGAGCCCGGGTGCCCTAATAGGACAGAAGATCCACACCGTACGACGGTGACCAGGGGCCAGGCTACAGCAGGCTTTTTCTTTTCTTTCCTTTTCTTTTGTACCTTAATAATAGCTTCATTGAGATATAATTCATATATCTCAATAATTCATATGTAAAACCATACAATTTACTGGCTTCTGTTTTTTTTTTTTTAAGAAGATAGAAGTTTATTACTTTTTTTTAAAGTTTATTTATTTTGAAAGAGAGAGAGAGAGAGCACGAGTAGGGGAGGAGGGGCAGACAGAGAGGGAGAGAGAGAATCCCCAGCAGGCACCGTACTGTCAGTGAAGAGCCAGACACCAAGCTTGATCCCACAAACCGCGAGATCATGATCTGAGCCGAAATCAAGAGTTGGACCCTTAACGGACTGAGCCACCCAGGTGCCCGTCACAGGCTTTCAGTGAGTTGTGTACGCATCACAGAGTTGTGTATTCATCACCACAATCAATTTTAGAAAGGAATCCCTGTCCCCGTTAGCAGTCATTCCCTGTTTCTCCTGCCCCCAGCCCACGGCAACCACTACTCTAAGCCTGTTGGACTTGCCGAATCTGGACATTTCATATGAATGGAATTGCACAACGTGTGCTCTTGTGGTCCTGTGGGACTCCCTTCTTTCACTCTGCATGATGGTTTCCGGGTTGGCCCATGCTGTAGGATCAGTACTCCATCTCTCTTTGTGGTCAAATAATACTCCATTGTAGGGATAGACCACATTTGGGTTATTTACTCATCAGTTGATCAACATTCAGTTTCTTTCTACTCTTTGGCCAGGATGGATTCATGCATAGGCTTTCGCACGGATGTAACTTTTCATTTCTCTCGTGTGTGTACTTGAGAGTGGAATTGCTGGGTCATCGTATCACCGTGTGTTCAACTGTCATTTTGTGGGCAACGGTTCCGCTCGTGTCCAGAATTTGGTGCATGAGGAAATCAGAAAAGGCATACCATGTTCTTGAGAAGTACTTGAATATATTCTATTAAGGAGGGCTTTTTTAGGCTGGGTCCTAATGCTAACTTCTGTTATTATTTTTTTTCTTTATTTTCTTTTTAGAAGGAAGAGATTGTTGTGACTCTCTTACCAGCTGGTCATTGTCCAGGATCAGTTATGTAAGGGGGCTCATCTACTTCACCATTTTATTTTATGTAGACATGTGTTGTATTTATGGAAATAAATTTTTAGGGTCTAGAAAATAGTATGCATAAGGAGGTTTCTTGAGTTCTTTAATACGTAGATGGCAATTTCTTTAGTCTTTGTTTCCAAGTTGAACGTGGGGGACTGAAGCAAAGATCGAGTTTGAAATGTGGCTTTCTTATAATGGAAGTCTCAGTGGCCATTTCTCCCTTGACTTTGCATTTTCCTATCACATGGATTTTTCTCTCTGTGTGCAGGAATGATCTCCTGTAGTTGAGAGTGCTAACATAGTTCAGAGGATTTCTATTGCCACTGCAGTAGTATTCCTGCATGTTCTTTTCTCCTACCTCAGGGAAAAGGAGGCAGCTGAGTGCCTGGTGTGGTTTAGAGCTACTGACATCCCATTAACCCTGTATTGGAGGTGGCTATGTGTGGCAGGAAACGTTTGCTGTGTATTTGCTTTATTAGGATTTTGTATGAGACTTAGACGTCACCAAGATGTATTTCCTTCTCAGGTTTTTATTTCAGGGCAGTAACGGAACGGTCTTGTACACAGGAGACTTCCGATTGGCACAGGGGGAAGCTGCCAGAATGGAGCTTCTGCATTCCGGGGGCAGGTACTGGGCTTCACGTAATCCTTATATGACTGAACCATCTGTTGGGTCGTAGTGCTTACCCTGTCCCCCCCAAAGCAAGCCTGTGTTTCCATTAGAAATCGAAGTTTATTATAATATGTGTCACAGTGAAGCAAAGTTTTCTTCTTCAAATGGGATGATGGTAACATTCTGTGTGCTGGTTGGGCTCATTCTTATGTGAACTTGTCAACATTCATTGACCCTTACATACAAAATCTGTGTATTGTGCGGAAATCATTTCCCAACAAAATTGATTTAACAGAAAAATTGCAAGTGGAATGGAACACCCTATAAAACAACTGAGAATTTAAACTTTACATGTATTTTATTTCACAATGGATGGTTAATACGAATTGTTGTTGCGGTTTTTCCAGAGTGAAAGACATCCAGAGTGTATACCTAGATACTACTTTCTGCGATCCGAAATTCTATCAGATTCCCAGTCGAGTAAGTCACGCTGGAGAAGTGGGGCTGTGACTGGGCTGTGGCCGTCATTTCTAGTAGGAAGTTTGTAGAATAACAAGTCAGATCATAATCGTCCCCATCGGCCTTAATATCTGTGACTGTTGGGAATGGAAAGGGCAAGCAATGCTCTTAAAAGTGTCCAATGCCTTTTAACAATCCCCGCCCAGGAGGAGTGTCTGAGCGGAATATTGGAGCTGGTTCGAAGCTGGATCACACGGAGTCCGCACCATGTCGTGTGGCTGAACTGCAAGGCAGCTTACGGCTACGAGTATCTGTTCACCCACCTGAGCGAAGAATTTGGAGTCCAGGTACGGTGACTCTTTCCTTTCTGGTGTTCCTTCCATCCTGCCAGCCTCTCTCCTCCTCCCCCAGAGGGTGAGCTCAGTAGCAGAGGGAAGCAGCCTGTCGCAGGGCATGTGCGGCGCAGGCCGGAAGCCCCCATGAAGTAAGATGTCACCTCTGTTTGTCTACCTCCTCACATGCGAGCCCACGGCAGCCCAGGTGGCGGAGAAGAGCCCGTAGAGAAAGTTTTTTTTTTTTTTTTCTCAGAACCATGGGTCACAGAATAAATTTAGTGATTGTGACCGGCATTGAAAAAAACTTGGGGAGCATCTGGGTGGCTCAGTCAGTTAAGCTTCTGACGTCGGCTCAGGTCGTGATCGTGGTTTGTGGGTTCAGGCTCCATGTCGGGCTCTGTGCTGACAGCTCAGAGCCTGGAGCCTGCTTCGGATTCTGTGTGTTCCTCTCTCTCTGACCCTTCCCCGTTCTCACTCTGTTCCTCTCTCTCTCTATCAAAAATAATTAAAAAAAAAAAGCCTGAAACTAGAAAGTATCTGAGTCTGTTGCTTACAGAGTGATCATTGCTTTGTGACAGTTTATGTAGGCAATCACACACGCACATTTACGTACACATATGTTGTGTGTATTGGGTGGCCCTGGGAAATCTATTTCTTACTGGGGGTCATGGTCAAGGTGTGCGAAAACCACTGGCTTAGAGTCCTGAACCCTGTGGATGGATCTGTATCAGATGAGGCTGGCAAGGAGTTTTTGCCTGGCCCCTTGCAGGTGGTTCTGTGTGCCGGGCCCTGGGACTGAGCAGAGCGGGGGTCGGGGGTGGGGGGAGGGGAGGCGTGAGTGTGGCTGCCGAACCCGTGGCTTGTGCCCTCACCCCCTCAGAGAAGATGGAGGTTTGGGAAGGACTCTGAGTAAAACAAAGTGCTGGAGCTAGTTGGACATTGTTTAAAGTTTATTTATTTATTTGGAGAGAGAAGAGAGAAAGAGCACAAGCAGGGGAGGGACAGAGGGGGTCAGGGGGACAGAGGATCCCAAGTAGGCTCTGCACTGTCAGCGCAGAGCCCAATGCAGGGCTCGAACTCACAAACCATGAGATCATGAGCTGAGCCAAAGTCATTTGCTTAACGGACTGAGCCGCCCAGGCGCCCTGGCTAGTTGGACATTGAAGTTCCCCTTCGTTTTGGACCTTGTAACATGGATCCTGCAGTTGATAAATGTGTGCCAAGAACTTAATTATACAGAGTAATTCAGTAAAATAAAAAAAATCGAGCTTTTCTGTGTTTGAGATGTAAAAAATTCCTCCCTCCCTCCCTTTATATGTCTTGACTCCCTTAGTCCTTTTTTCCTTAATTTGTCCTTCCTTACACCCTTTGGTCCAAATACATTGGCGTAAAGTTGCCAATTCTCCATTTTGGGAAGGATTTGTTTTCATTTTGAGATTGTCATTCCTGTTGTTTTGGTGTTAAAAGGCCTTTCATATTAATGTTTATTTTTGAGAGAGACAGACAGAGGAGGAGGGGCAGAGAGAGGGAAACAGAATCTGAAGCAGGCTCCTAGCTGAGCTGTCAGCACAGAGCTTAATGTGGGGCTCGAACCCACAGACTGTGAGATCATGACCTGAGCCAAAGTCCGACACTTAGCTGACTGAGCCACCCGGGCTTCCCGGCTTTTTAAATTAAAAGCACAGTGATTAGGCTGTGTGTGCGCGTGCACACACTTACCTGTATTATCTGCCCTGTTTCCTCATGTCCTCTCTTGGCCAAATACAAAGATGGCAGCCGCTTCTCACTCCCAGATTTGTCTTGTACATTTTCGTGCGTGTGAAATGGGGAAGGCAGGAAGCTTCTGGTCAGGAGGCTGGGGAGGGGCCGGGAAGGCGGGGAGAGTGGCCTCTGGTGGTGACCTGGTAACCGCAGAGCCACCTGGAGTGAGACCCCTCTTAGGCCCCTTAATCCCGCTGTAGGGGACAGGGGACGCAAACAGTTTCAGATCAGGAATTTAAAAGGGGGCAACAGGGAGGCCTCAGAGATGATCTGTGGCAACTTTTTCAGGCTCTTTTATTTTTGTGGAAGAACGAAGTTTCTGTATCTCCCTCTGTACATCTCAAAATTTACCCCATTTTCTCTCTTTCGTAGCTAGTCCAGAAAAGCAAATTTGTTGTCACTTCTTGTTAGTCATTAGCAAACAGGGAGGGAGCAGAACAGGCCACAGGATAAGTAAGCAGTTGTGCTTGGATTCCTTCTTATACTTGTCTTGGTGTTAATTACCAGAGCGGTTTGACATGATCCTAATCTGTTGTTAATCAGACTTCAAAATGAGAATCCTGCTCATTTCTGCCATTTTGTAGTCCTAACACCAATTTAGGTACATGTTACGTACTTTGAAGCAGAGAATTTTTTAAAATCTTTGTTTACTTATTTAGAGAGAGAGTGTGGGCGAAGAAAAGAGAAGAGGGAGAGAGAATCCCAAGCAGGCTCTGCAGTTTCAGGGCCCAGAGCCTGACGCAGGGCAGGGCTCTAACTCAAAAGCCTTGAGATCATGACCTGAGCTGAAATCGGGAGTCAGGCACCTCACCCACCGAGCCACCCAGACACCCCTGTAGAAGAGACTCTTTTAAGAAAAACTGACACATTGGTTTAACAATTTAAAACAATAAAAGCTGCCTTAAAATTCTACAGGTGGCTAAAAGTTTTTTGTTTTTCTGCATCTGCCCCTCCCCCTCTTAATCCAGTAGAGGGGTGTGTGGTGAGAAGCTTCTGGGTGTCCGCTTCCTACTCCAGCTGTGCTTCCCCCCCCCCCAGCTGCCCTTCCTCACAATGCCAGGAATGTGTCTTCACAAGTGATTCTTCATCTGCTGTGTTCACTGCTCTATACCCAATATTTAGAATAAAGCTTGACACATAGTAGGTGTATAATAAGTATTATTTGAAGGACCCTTGATGGACTTAAGGACAGTAGAGTTGACCCTGAACAACACAGGTTTGAACTGCACAGGTCCATTTTTACGTGGGTTTTCTTTGGTCAGTGTAGTATTGTATCCTGAACAGTAACAGCTGGTGACAGATGGTAGCTAGACTTGTGAACATGGCATAACACCCAGACTGAGAGAGTTGTGCCCTCACGTTGTATACCTGAAACTCATGTAACACTGTGTGTCAATTACACTTCGATAGAAGAATACAGTGCGGTACTCTAATGGTATTTTCTCTTTCTTACATTTTCTGAATAATGTTCTCTTCTCTAGCTTGCTTTATTGTAAGATACAGTATGTGATACACATACAGAATATGTGCTAATGGGCTGTTTATGTTGTTGGTAAGGCTAGTTAAGTTTTTGGGAAGTAGAAAGTTGGGTGGGTTTTTGACCATGGGGGTCGGCACCCCAACCCCCGCGTTGTTCGAGGTCAGTTGCATCAGCATGATTCGGTGAGGTCTACCAGCTGGGTCTCCATGACTTTTTATTACTGCTCCCAATGGGCACTAACACTGACTGGTGCAAATATGATGTTTGCCCTTTGCGACGTCCTGACAGGATACCAACGTGCACTGCAATAGCCAAAAACTAGGTTTCAGGAAAGAAGAGAGAGTTTGCTAAGTGAATGATTTGCCCTAGTGACCCTTGAGCAACTTCTTTATAGGAAACACCACTCAAACAGTACGCCCATCTGTGTTATCTTCCTCAGGTTCATGTGGACAAACTAGACATGTTTAGGAACATGCCCGACATTCTTCACCACCTCACGACAGACCGGAGCACGCAGATCCACGCCTGCCGCCATCCGAAGGTACGGGGAAAACCGTGTTTCCTGGAGTTGGTGTCGCGCAGGCAAGGCAGAATTTTAGGTCCAGAGGGAACCCCTGAAATCCCATTTTCTAGGCCCATCAGTTTACACCTGTGAAAACTGAGGTGGAGACCTGACGGCGTTAGCCCGAGCCCGTGAAGGGAGGCGTTCCTGTGCTCCTCGCCCTGAGCCACATGAGAGCAGACAGACACAGACCCCCAGGCTTCCTCATGAAATACACCCAGACACATTTGATACATATTTATTTGTAATGAGTTATGTAGTGACTACCATATTTATCATGAAATTAATAATATGTTAGCGCTTCTGGTTTAAGGAAACATTTATAATCCATTGTTATTTGTTTGAGACTCATGACCTATTTGTAAACTACTTTTCTTCTACTTATTTGAGATTTAGCTATTTATAGCTAGATATAACTTTGTTTCAGATTTCTAGATAGTTCTCTCTTGCTGGCCCAATTTCAAATGAGCATTTCTAGGTTTTTGCAAGTCATTCATAATTCATTTTTGAATGCTGCCCTAGAACTCCAGCTTCACTTATTAAAACCCCTTCTGTTATTAAGTGTCATGTGTTAAATTTTGGATTTGCCTTTAACATTTTTTTTTTCATTTCACTGTGTATAGTCATTCAGCATCACAAATAGTAAATCTTGACCTTATAAACAGGGATTTGCATCATCATAATTTTCCCCTAAAATTTAAAATATCTGAGCATTCAAATGCTGAGAAATTTTCATTTTAGTGAACACTGCGTTTATATATTTAGATTCTCATGGTGGTGGTAATATTGGCTCCATTGCCCAAAAACCTAAAGTAAACTTGCTCAGCCCTAAAGTAAAGCATAATTAAAAAAATAAATAAAGAATTCTTATCTACAGCATGGAATATTCTACTTCAGACCGCTGTAGGATAGCTACAAGGTAAGAGATTATTTTGATGATTGGTAAGCTGCATATTATAACTCGAGGCATCAATTTATTTCATTCTTTTATTTGTGTGCCTACACACACACACACACACTCCTTGAATTCATGGATTGATCAAAATCATGTACATACAGAATAGCAGCTACTTTGTCCCTTTTTTTTTTTTTAAGTTTATTTATTTTTTGAGAGAGAGTGCACAGGGGAGGGGCAGAGAGAGGAGAGACTCCACATTGTCAGAGCGGAGCCTGATGCGTGGCTCGAACTCACCAACTGTGAGATCATGACTTGAGCTGAAATAGAGTGTCAGATGCTTAATAAACTGACCCACCTTGGTGCCCCTGTTTTGTCCCTTTTCTGTTGGACTTGTAGCCTCTGGTCCTCACAAACCCCGTACTGGCAGATTTTTCTTTGCTTTGAGTTTTCTTGCATCCCATGACGTAGCTAAGTTGGCCATGGTCACTCCTGCCCGTCCCTCGTGGCTACCTGCCTTGAAACACTCCTTCTAGAGGTTTAGTTCCTAGGTTGCACGGCCTCAGGAGTCCTGCTCACGGCTCGCAGCTCGCGGAGCCCCAGCACACCCCTCCGCAGCCCCCCTCCTCATCGGGACCCGCACCAAAGGCCCCCGATGACATTCGGTTTGCGCCGAGTGCTCATGGTTTTGCAGGACCCCTAAGCATGATGTCTTTGGGAAAACAGTCCCATTGTGTTTTAGCCTTTTTGTTTGCTCTATTCTGTAACTGTATTTTGAAAAAATTGGATGATCGGGAGCCCATATGCCCACTTCCCTGGTTGTTTAGTACTGTCCTGTTTTCAGCCTGTGGAGCCCTGCATCCCTGGCAAAGGTCACGATGTGTGGTGCCGTTACTGTGGCCGCATTCGTCTCAGGTGTAGATCAAGTCTTCCGAGTTTTGCTTTTCTTTCAGGACATTGCTATTCTGGAAAAGTCCAGGCCAGGTGTTTTCCAGAATGTTCCTGAACTTGGAATTATCTCATTATCCCCTCACATCTGCGTTTTTATTTCATGTCTGTAAACTTATCGCAGCATTTGTTTTTGAGGCCCTGCCTTCTAAGAGATTCGTTGAAAATGTGGAATTGTTTTTTGGTTTTTGAAATCTTTTGTAGGCAGAAGAATATTTTCATTGGAATAAATTACCCTGTGGAAATACTTCCAAAAATAGAATTCCACTCCACATAATCAGCATTAAGCCATCCACTATGTGGTTCGGAGAAAGGACCAGAAAAGCAAGTGTAATTGTGAGGTAAGAAAGCAATGTCATAGGTCTTTTGAGAGCAACCTTGCTTTTGAGGCAAATTATGTGATTTATTTTAAAGGCAAATCTAGCCTAACCCAAAGAGGGGGATGTATTATAATTGTGGGAAATAACTTCTGAAATTTAAACGCTAAAGAAGTTCTGCTTCCAAACCTGTCTACTGGCTAATTTTGCTGAGGTCTGCTCCAATTGGGTGGCACGTGAGTGAAGGCATCTTGCTTGGCAGGGAGTGAGCTGACCTCGTGGGGAATTAGAAGCCATTGGTGGAGGTGAGGAGCACCATAATGATCACCATATTGTAGCAACACTTCCTTAATACTGGGTGTTCAGGATGTCCACGGATCTTTGTATTTCTGGACAGAGGACCCTCTTGTCCCAGGGAGAAACCCTTGATTATAGTGATTTCATACCGGAAGAGCAAGAGATGGGAAGGCATGGAATTTAGGACGTAGCTTAGTTTTGATAGAAGACCTTTAAACTTGGTGTTTTCCTTTCCTTTTAGGACTGGAGAGAGTTCCTACAGAGCTTGTTTTTCTTTTCATTCATCCTACAGTGAGGTAAGCGGACCCCAAGTGCTCAGAACTCCACTGCCAACTGCTTCGGCAGCATTCGTGGTGGATGGCGGCAGCCTCCTTGGCTGCCAGGGGCGTCTCTTCTTCTATTGCTTAAAGATTTGTTGTGGCTTTTCCGAAAGAAATTTAGGGAAGATACCTCAGTAGATGAGCTGTGTTTACTGAGTACAAAGGAGATTGCTATTGGCACCGTTGTCAGCCTAAACATGGAAGAATTTGTATGATTAAGGTTTTCTTCCTGTCTGGCTTCCTGCATGTATTTTAACTTCCCCACTTCAGTTGTTCTGTTCAGTCGTCCTAAGGGATCATAAATTTTTTTTTTTAATTTAAAAATTTATTTATTTATAAAGAGGATCATAAATGCTATGCAAAGGAGCACTATAGATAAAACTTCATTATAGGCAGCCTTAAGGTGCCGTGTAGAGTTTTGGTCTCTTCTAAAAGCTATTTAAAAAATAGTCCTGAATATTCAGCAATGGGGAAGAATAAAAGTGACTGAGATAAAAAGCTTGTCCTTAAGAAGGATACATACTATCTTAGAATGACTCAGTTGAAGAAGGCCTATTAAAGGGTTTTGTTAGGATCCTCTCTATATAGGAAATTGACCTACTGCAGTGGAACATGATATGTGATTTATTTGCAGACTCCTCACGCACCTTCCAAAGTAAATGCTAGCGTCTTCTAAGTGTTGAGTTTTAGTAATTTCATATATGCATTGGAGAAAGACGTATAGAAAAGTAGACTTTGAATGACACGTTAAGTCACATATAATTTTAGTTTGAGGTTTCAGCACTTGAAAATTGATTTCTCTGATAACTATTATGTTTGTATTGGGGTACGCAGATACAGCGCTGCACCAGTGAGCTGTGGATGTGTTAATGATTTAAACAGGTGGATTCTTCCAGAGCTCCAGGGAGTGGCATTCTTACCAAGTCAGCTATAGTATTGTAAATGACTAGCATATTATCAAAACATCACAGGGATATCTCTATTAAGTATCTGACCTTAACTTTCAGGTGCAAATAGGTTGGTTATCTGAGAGCAGCTTGGAAGGAATTCCCTGTGAGGTGGATTTTAGTTAATGTGTTCTTCCTCATTTTATCCTCAAGTCTCACGTTGTCGTCAAGAGCCCCATCCTGGGGACTTGCCTTTGGTCTGGCATCGGGCTCAGCATCAGGGTCCCTTCCTGTCCATGCCTCAGTGGCCTGTATCCTTGCTGTCTCAGCCACGGGGCAGGCGTCTCGTCAGGGAAGAGTTTAAGCCTTACTGCTCACTCAGGGCTACGTCTGGCCCCCTTCACTCCTTCAGTGTAGTTGTAGCAGCCCACCTGGGAAGCATAAGCCTACCTGGGATTTGATGCAATTACTTTCCAATAAGGAGGTATTTCCCTGCTGCGTAAGCAGAGACTTGAAGCGGCTGAGTGCCCTCGTCCCTGTGCTCGCCCTGGGTCAGCACCGGCCATCACGCACAGTGGAGGGTTGCTGTGAGCTCTGCGGCGGCGGGGAGACCTGCTTTCCCGAAAACTCTCCTCACAGGCCTATATCCTAAGTATAGATCGTGTTGAACTAGATTTATAAACATAAATAGTAGACTTAAGGATCATTTCCCGTCAGTTTTTTTTCCTAAACACAGCTGATGCCTCTTATTCGTGGATTCTTTATTTCCAGTTCGCCTATTCACTAAAATTTGTTTGTGACCCTGAATTAATAGTCGCAGCGCTGCGTGGCTGTTCGCAGACACGTCCAGCAGAGCAGTGGGCAATGGGGGTCACGACACGCATATTCCCACTTTCGGAACTGGGTTGTGCTCCCCCTCTCCGCTCAGCTCAGGGCATACAGGTGTCCTTTTGCAGTTGGTTTAGCGCTGCATTTAACACATTTCTCTGCCTTTTGCTGGCCATTTTGCTGGTTAGAACAGCCCCCAAGTGCGGGGCTGAGGTGCTGTGGAGCCTTCGTAAGCGAGCGCAGAGGCTGGGCTGTGCCTTGTGGAGAAAAAAAACGTGTTCGATAAGCTTTGTTCAGACAGGAGTTATGGTGCTGTTGGCTGTGAGTTCAGTAGTAATGAATCAACAGTACGAATTAAATAGGTGTCTTTAAACAGAAACACACAGCAAACAAGGTGACGCATTGATGGGCTGACAGAAACACAGTGACCAGAAGTTCACTGGAACCTTGTCTTTTCCTCAGGAGCAGGGGATCAGTGTTGGCTAATTCTAAAATTTTGTAAGTGCACTTATTTATTTTGAGAGAGAAAGAAGAGTGAGAGAGCATGGGGGAAGGGCAGAGGGGGAGAGAGAGTCTCAAGCAGGCTCTGCACTGTCAGCACACAGCCCGATGTGGGGCTGGAACCCATGAACTGTGAGATCATGACCTGAGCCACAGTTGGATGCTTCACTTGTTGAGCCACCCAGGCGCCCCTAATGTTTGCTAATTCTAGACCCCTAGGACATAACCCCTGCAGATAATGAAAACGGACTGTGTGTGTGAATGGTTTTAAGGCAGGCATCTGATGTGAGGAGATCAGCTTGTACAAGTGACAGAGGGTGCCCCTCTGGTGTGTGTCTCCTGTGGCCACTTCATTTCTAAGTAGAAGTGAATCATTTCTGGTATAGGTTGACCTTACTTTCTTTATGCCTATTCCCTTCACAAGCCTCAGATTTCTTCCAGCCTCAGCTTTGAATGGATTATACAAATCATAAAAGTTGTGGACGGGTGAATAATAGTTCTGTTTGCATGCCTGCTCTGAGAGTACAGGAGAATTTGGTTATGAAAAGTATGTGAAGAATGAATGGGTCTTCCTGTTTTCCTCTCCTGTTTTCAAAAAGGTAGCCACTTTAATACGGAGTTATTGATAATTCCTAGTTTCCTACCTCCTTTGATTTGGCCCTATATTTGAAAAAGTCGCTTCTGGGGCACCTGGGTGGCTCAGTTAAGCGTCTGACTTCAGCTTAGGTCATGATCTCACAGTTCATGGGTTCGAGTCCTGTGACAGGCTCTGTGCTGACAGCTTGGAGCCTGGAGCCTGCTTGGGATTGTGTGTGTGTGTGTGTGTGTGTCTCAAAAATAAATAAACATTCAAACAATTTAAATTAAAAAAAAAGAAAAGCTGGCTTCTAATGATTACTTAGAACTCAGTCTCCCGATTTGCAGAAGGGAATAAAAACATTTGTGTTGTGATTATAATTTTTGTAATGGATAGTTTTATTGAATGTTAAATATATGCCAGGTACTAGGCCAAGCGCTTTACAGGCATTATCTCATTTATACTTTTAGATGAAGACCCTAATACTTAGGGACTTAGGTAATTTAACCAAGATCACAAGGTCCCCAAGATCTATTAAGTGACAAAGCTGGAACTCGTCCCAGAGTTTCTGTTTAGCATTCTGAAAACCGAGGTATTTGTGAAATTTTTGCATGCACTTGTCCTCTAGATGAGAGAAAACCATACAACAAATCAAGCATCCTGGAAGATGCAGTTTTCTTTGTTGGGGAAAAGAAATGTAATTCTAAGGCCTTGCTTTTTTGTGCATATTAAATACTCTGCTTAATTCTAACTTACTTGAAAGGAATTTGTTAATTACAGGTGATTTTCTTAGACAAAGAAACTAATGTAATTTAAAGAAACAGAATCTTTGCGTTCCATTAATCAGTGATTCTTAGTCCTTTTTGTGGAACAGAATCACCTGAAGAACACTTAAATATCCTGAATCCCAGGCCCCAGTGTAGCTCAGTATTAAAAGGAATTTTGGGCGTGGGGCCTGAGCGTTGGAGATTTCCTCCTCCTGAGGGGTCCCTGGGTGATCCCCACGTGCAGCTAGTGGTGAGACACACACCATGAGAAAGTCCTGCTGTCCTTTCTCCTGGCCTCCCTTTTGTTTGCTTCCGTAACACCCACGTTTTTCGCTACAGAGATAATAGGTCCATTTTATTTTCCTTCTTCTAGGTGAAAGACTTCTTGAGCTACATCTCTCCTGTGAATGTGTATCCGAATGTCATTCCAATAGGTGCAACTATGGATAAGGTTGTAGAAATGTGAGTAGTTGCTACTTGCGGAACTTGTGTTGTTGAACACGATGGCTGCAGAGGAGTTTCGGGCCTGAGAACAGGGGCAAGGATGGAAGATGGATGTGGCTGTAAATACGTGTCCGGTTGGGAGCATGATGGCTTTCTTCCAGTGGGCGTGTTGCAGATAATCCTAAAGGCTACTGGGAATCTGGCATAAGGGCGCAGCTGGCACTGAGGCCCTCCAGAAAGGGCAGGCTGTCCTCAAGTCTTATTTACAGTCTTGTATTGTATCATCACTGTGCCTTAGCTTCCAACCTCTAGAATGAAGAGATCAAATTTATGAGATTTTTATGAGTTAGGTCAACCCCATTAAAAAAGGAAGAGTAATAAGCAGCTAGCTATATTGTATTCCCTGAATGCCAGTAGGTGTCACTGTTATTGCTTAATAGTCTTGCAGAATAGGGACCTGCTTTTCCGCAAAGCAAGAGCAAATACAGGAGTTTTGCTTTCCCTCGATCCTACAATTAGATAGCTATGTACCAGGTTGTATTTAAGTGCTTATATTTACAACTTAATTATAGTGAAGTGGTTTCATAATGATTAAACATGGCTTTTTGGTTTTTAAAAGTAGTTATATGTTTTTCCCCATGGCCAAGTTTGTATAATCTCTATAGATGATGCTTACATTTCCAGCAGCTTTCCCAACAGGAAAAATATAATATTCATATCCATTTCAGCTTAAAGCCTTTATGCCGATCTTCGCAAAGTACTGAGCCAAAGTATAAACCCCTTGGAAAACTGAAGAGAGCTAGAAAAACTCACCTAGACTCAGGTAAGAAAATAACCCTGGGTTCAGATGTGTGGGTTTCAAGGCTACTCTGGTCTGGTGAAAGCTGCATTGGGCAGGGGTGGGCCTGGGACCTGCTGTAACTCAGACTTGTCACCATGGTCTCAGGAAGTCCTTTGTCTTTCTCCAGCCTGGGAAATCAGGAGTCCGATCTCCTTCACAGGTTTAAAACGGGTGACAGAGAGAACTGTCGGGGCCTGTGCTTTCTGAAAGTAGGCCCTGTGGTTTGTATAGGCCACAGGGAGAGGCTGTGCTGTTAATCTTGGAGATTTCCTTAAAGATACTAGTAAATGCTGACAGTGGAAACTTTTCTGGTCATTTCCAACCAGATTGACCAGTAAGGCTTATACAAATGGGTTTTCTGTACTTTCCTACCCCTTTTCATTGCTACTTTAGTTTTCGAGTGAAGAACAGCGGTAACCTCTGAGGAATTCAGAATCTGAGATTCCAAACAAAGATCTGCTTTAGGCAGCCAGATTTTGTGGTTAGGATTCTGAGTTTGCATTGCTTTGGTGGAGAGTTAGTTACTGTACCATGTAGCTAATACAGACCAAGCAGAGTAGATAACAGGAGTATATTTATTAAACACCTACTGTATATGGCAGGTGTTATACTAGGTCTTTTACGTGTATTATAGCTAAACTTCAGCCTTCCAAGGGGTTTCTTCCCAATTTTATTAACAAGGAAATTGAAGTTTAGAGGTGAAGGAAATTCCCCAAGGTCCAGCCAGAAATAAGTGATGGGGCTGGGATTCTAATCCAGGCCTGTCTTTCCCATCTCCATTTCTGCATTTCCTCTCATTTAGAATCAAAACAAAAACATTTAGATCCAAATTCCAGGACCGATTCTAGAAAACTAGTTGTATTTTCAGATATTATATCTATCATGTACAGCATCTTCTAATCCTTCTCATATATAAACTTAATTGTAGGTTATTTTTTTTAAAGCTTTACCGAGGTATAATTGATATACTATAAACTGCATGTTTAAGGGGTCCAATTTGATACTTTTACATATGCATATACTTGAGAAGCCATCGCCATAATTAAGATCAGGAAAATAGCCATTACCCCTAAGTCTTCTTCTGCCACTTTGTAATTCTTCCCAGCTGTCCCCTACCCACTGCCGTCCTCTTCCATGCTAAGGCAACAACTGATCTGCTCTCTCTCACTGTACATTAGTTAGCATTTTTTAGAATTTTATATAAATAGAATTATACAATATGTCTGGCTCATTTCACTCAGCATATTTGAAATTCATTGATATTGTTGCATGTATCAGTACTTTCTAATTTTTTATTGATAAGTAGTAGTCCACTGTGTGGATATACCACAGTTTGCTGATCCATTCACCTCTTGTACATCTGGGTTGTTCCCAGTTTTTGGTGATTACAAATAAAAATAGAACATTCAAGTACAAATCTTTGTATGGGTATATGCTTTCACAGCTAGGGGCGGGTCATATGGTAGCCATATCCTTAAGAAATTGCCAAGTCATTTTCCAGAGTAGTTGGACCATTTTCCATTCTTGCCAGTTCTCTTCTACTTTGTTGCCAGTATTTGGTGTGGGCAGACTTTCTAACTTTAGACATTCTAATGTGTGTGCAGTGGTATCACATGGTTTTAATTTGCATTTTTTCTAATGTCTAGTGAGGTTAAACATCTTTTAATGTTCTTATCTGCCATCCATGTAACTTTATTGGTGAAGTGTCTGTTTAAATCTTTATCCATTTTTTTAATTTGTTGCTTTTTTATTAGTGAGTCTTGAGTTTCTGGATGTAGATGCTTTATCAGTTACATGCTTTGCAAAACCTTCCTCCCAGTTTGTGGCATATCTTGCAGTCTCTTGGTAGTCTTTTGAAGAGCAGAAATTTTAAATATTTACTTTTTTTTTTTTTTTTTTGTATTGTAGCTAAGAACTCTTTGCCTGACTCAAGGTCACAAAGATTATTTTCTCCTCTGTTTTTTGGCAGAAGTTCTTGTAGTTTTAGTTTTTAGATTTAGGTCTGTGGTCCATTTTTGAATTATTTTTTGTACATGGTGCAAACTACATATCCAAGGTTTTTTGGTGTTTGATCTTTTCCTACATATGGACATCCAGACACTGTAGAACCACTTGTTGAAAAGACTTATCTTTACTGAATCATCTTTGTACTTTTTTTGAAAATTAATTGACAATATATATGAGGGTCTACTTCCGGACTTTTTATTATGTTCCATGACCTCTATCTTGACATTAGTACTGCCCTGTCTTGATTATGGTACCTTTATAAATTCTGAAGTTAAGTGATATAAGCTCTTGAACTACTTTGTTAGTTTTCAAAGTTTCCATGTCCTTCACATTTCCATATGAATTTTAGAATCAGCTTGCCATTTGTACAGAAATGTCCCTGGAGGGAGTTTGATTGGGATTCCATTAAATTTGGGAAAAATTGACATGTTAACAATATTGAGTCTTCAGATTCATGAACATGGTATCTCTCTCCATTTATGTAAGTCTTTAGTTTTGCTCAGCAGTTTTTGATAATTTTCATTGTATAGGTCTTATACACCTTTTGTTAGATTAATCCCTAGATATTTCACTTTTTGGATACTATTATACATTTTATTGCTTTTCAAATTTCAATTTGTTACATATAGAAATAGAATTGATATTTGTTATTTTGATCTTCTATCTTCCAAGCTTGCTAACCTCACTTATTAGTTCTAGCGACTTTTGGGTAGATTCTACTGGATTTATACATAGATTATCATAGTGTCTGTGAATATTGTTAATTTTACAGTCTGAATGCTTTTATTTCTTATTCTTATTGACCTGGCTAGACTTCAACTACAAGTTTAATAGAAGTGGCAAAGGTTGATGTCACCATCTGGTTCCCAATCTTGTGGGGGGTGAGGAAAGCATTGATTTTTTTCACCCTTAAGTATGTTACCTGTGGGTTTTTCATTGATGTTTCTCATTACATGGAGTAAGTCCATTCTATCAGTAGTATTCTGAGAGTTTTTTAATTGGGAATGGGTATTGGATTTTGTCAAATAACTTTTCCTTCATTTACTGAGATGATCATATAGTTTTCCTATTTTAGTCTGTTAATATGGTGAATTACAATGATTGATTTTCAAGTACTAAACCAACCTAGCATTTCTGGAACAAACCCCATTTGGTTGTGATGTATTATCCTTTTGAACTATTACTCAACTTGATTTCTTGAACTTGTGTTAAGAATTCTTTTCCTCTGTGTTAAGGAATGATATTAGTCTAAAGTTGCTTCATTTTTCATTCAGTACCTTTTGTGGTTTCAGTATCCAGATACTGTTGGCCTTATTGTGAAGTGTTCTTTTATACTCTTAATTTCTGGAACAGTTTATGAAGAATTAGCAGTATATCTTTCTTAAATGATAGGTAGAATTCACCAATGAAGCCATCTGGGCTAGGAGTTTTCTCTGCAGGAAGGTTTTTAACTACAAATTCAATTTGTTTAATAAGTATTCAGGTTAATTTTTCTTGAGTAAGCTTTAGTAATTTGTTATCTTTCAAGGAATTTGTCCATGTCGCCTAAGTTGAAATTTTTGGCACAAGCCTGTTCATAATTTTCCTTTGTTATCCTTTTAATATCTGCAGAATCTAATGCTATCAACTGTCTCACTCCTGACATGATTTGTGTCTTATTTTTTCTGGATCAGAGGTTTGCCAGTTTTACTGATCTCAAAAACCAGCTTTTTGCTTCACCGATTTTCTCTTTGTTGTGTTGTTTTCAATTTCAGTGATTTCCACTCTGATCTTTCTTTCTTTCATCTGTTTACTTGATTTTTTAATTTCTTAATGTGGGAGCTGAGGTTATTGCTTTGAGATTTTTTTCCCCTTAATACAGGCATTTAGTGCTTTAAGTTTCTGTCTGTAATGTTACCTCACAAATTTGACTTGTGTTTTCATTTTCATTCAATTCAAAATATTTTCTAATTTTTCTTTTGATTTCTTCTTTGCATGGATTATTTAGAATAAATATGTTACTGAGCTGCTGAATTTTGGAGGATTTTCCAGAGATAATTTTGTGATTGAATTTAATTTTGGGGTCAGAGAAAACGCTGTTAGGATTTTGACTGAAATTTGAGGTCCAGAATAATGGTCTGTCTTGATAAATGTTTCACTGTACTTAAAAGAAATATATATACTGCTGTTGGGTGGAGTGGTGTACAAATATCAGGTAAAGTTGATTGATAATGTTCAAGTCTTCCATATCCTTGCTGATTTACTTGTTCTACTTTGCCCTGTGAATTACGGAAGTTGTTGAAATCTTCAGTTACAATTGTGGGTTTGTTATTCCTTGTAATGCTATCACTTTTTGCTTCATCAGTTTGAAGCACTGCTATCAGGTTCACACATGTTTAAGATTAAGTCCTCTTATATTTAGGAAATGACTCTTTATCCCTGGTAATAGTCTTACCTTTGAAATATACTTCATCAAATACTAATATAGCCATTAAACTTTCTTCTGACCAGTGTTAGCATGGTAGATCTTTTTCCATCTCTGTATTTTTAATTTGTCTTTATAATTAAGGTAGGTTTCTTACAGGCAGCATGTTGTTGGGTCTTGTTTTTTAATAGCCAATCTGGTAATTTTTGTCTTTTCACTGGAGTGCTCTAGGACCATTTATGCTTAATGTGATTCCTAATACGGTTATGGTTTAAATATACCATCTTGCCGTTTGTTCCTTCTGTTCTTTATTTCTTCTCTGTCTCCCTTTGGATGGAGTAATGATGGATTACATTTAATTTGTTGGTTTATTGGCAGCAACTCTTTATTTTAGGGGTGTACAGTATACATCTTTAACCTACCAGAGTGAAATATTAAGACAGATATTATTCTAGTATTGTACAGTATAAGAAATTTAAGACAGTATGGACCTACCTCCTCCTTAGTCTCTGTAATTATGGTCATACATTTTATTATTTAAAAACCCACAATACTTTTTTTTTTTTGCTTA